ACGAATGCCGTGGTATTGGCGTCGTATATTTGACTTCCGCGAATCGTTTACATTATCAGAATACTACAAACCCTTCTTCAGTTTTGCATCGAGTGTGTTTGAACCTAGTAATGCTCAATGTTTGTTATCTGATGAGTTATTGTTCTTAAAATATTTATTTTATTTTTGCCTTGCAGTATTAGATATTGTTTTCTTTATATAGGGACCGTGCGTCATGACTTTAACGCTAACTGGTGACAAAAATGTGAACTTTTTGGGGGGTATTTATTAATGTTTTATAGGGACCGTGCGTCATGACTTTAACGCTAACTGGTGACAAAAATGTGAACTTTATGGGGGGTATTTATTAATGTTTTATACGGCATTTATTGTTAATTAATTATTAATAAAATGAAGTCGAATTATTTTCGTAATATCAATATCGAAAAAACTTGCTACATCCGTGGATGTACAAACACATCACTTTGGAAACCTGGATTTCATTCGATAGTAAAGAAATTTTATAAATTTCCACAGAGCACAATTATGCCTCACACCCAATGATATACATAATTACAAAGATTGCTTATCCATATGTAAATCAGACGACGAAAAGCGTATTTCACTAAGCAAAGTTTTCTTTTTATCTAGCTTGCATCAATTTTAAGCACATAGTTGTAAATAAATCATTTACAGAACCGGTTTAGAAATTATAATCTTTAGTGTTTTCTTGTCATTAAGATTTTTACATATTTAAATGAACATTTTATATAAATATAATTTTACAGATAATGGTTTATTCTGTTGATTAAAACTAATGTAGAATGTTATTAGAGAGTTATTGCAAGTTCACTTAAGGTCAGTCACTATTAGTGCCGCTCTTATTTTGACATCTGAGCATGCGCAGATCACTAACTTTAATAAAGATTGTGCCTGTCCTAAATAGAGAGATATTGCAAATTTCTATAAAGCCAGCCACTAAACTTTAAATCATAGTTAATCTTTTTTGTAGTCTATAATATTAAAGAGGCATAACAAATTATAATTTTAGAAGGTTTAAATGACGATTATAGTAAATATTTAATAATTAAAAACTTCTAACGGATACGAATGTCGGCGAGCGCATCCGAAAACTATAAAGTCGCCACTACCTGCTACCCTTAAACATCCACAATTAAGGACATGCACAATCCTTAATAAAGTCAGTTTTAGAACATAAACATCTACGCATGCTTAGATGTCAAAATAAAAGCGGCCCTAATAGTGACTGACCTTAAGTGAACTTGCAATAACTGTCTTATTAAGGACAGGCACAATCTTTATTAAAGTTAGTGATTTGCGCATGCTTAGATGTCAAAATAAGAGCGGCACTAATAATGACTGACCTTAACTGAACTTGCAATAACTCTCTATTATGAAATAAGAATGTCTAATTTGACAAAAATATCACGGCCCTCTTTACAATTTATTAACTATTTCTATTTATTATTAAAATAAACAAATCATAAATAATACATTGCAATAACTGTCAAAAGAGATTAGTGACATTACCATTAAACATTATTCAGAATAATAGATAAGTGTCCAATTACAACTCTTACCAAAGTTGTTTATACCTCATATCAAAATTGTTTACATTACCTTTTCAAAATTGAATTACATATTACAATTATGTATTTTATGTAGAATTGTTTCTGAAATAGTGGTCTAAAATTATTTATATCCATCTGTTATAAAAATTGTTTAGATCTCTTAATATTATTTAACTACATGAAAACTTTCCAAATACATAATGACATGTCTTGAAGTAAAACTTTAATTATTTTCTTTTTCTAAAGATTAAAATTCTGAAATTTTATTTTAAAACACATTTGGGCTAGAACGGCTCTATTTAGTGAGCACTAGGAAAGGCACAATGCAACCCGCTTTTCATAATTTTTTTATAGATGGGTGAGCAATCTATAATATGTATCATTGAACATCTCATAAACGTCAGTGGATGAATGACATTTCGATTAACATAAAGCTAAAAAGATTTATAATTATTATTATCAATCTTTTTTATTAATTTACATTTTTTAAATGTTATTGTAATACTTTTAAATTCAGTGTTACTAAATACCGATATTTTAACATTGGATACACTTGTTTAAGGTACAACTTTACAATTTATTGTCACTTAGCTATTTAAATCTTTTTGCTTAAAATGTATATGCATGTCCAGATTTTAATAATGTTTTAACATTTAACGTCATTTTGACCATGTACACGATTGTTTGGTACGGGCCGGTATCTATTTTTAACTATATTTAATATTTAAAAAAATACCCTTTATTATTTACTTGCAATGTTTACCCCATTTAATTCTAAAATTAAACACTAGAGAGGGCTAAGTTCGGCAGTAGTGCTGCCTCTATATTTCACGCACGGTCCCTATAATGTATTGACTATTATTTCATATATTTTCCTGTGTTTAACTCAAATTGAATATTATTTCATATATTTTTCTGCCTTTAACTAAAACATCAAGTAATAAAATGTGTTTTTTTATATATATATATATATATATACTTAATTTGTCATTTGTATCCAAATTGACGTTTGATTGGTTTTATTGTATTTATTATAACTTTGGGGTTTTTTTGCTGGTGCTTTCCCCTCATTTGATAAATTAATTATTTTTTTTATTGCACCGAACCAGACCTATATTTAATCTTTATAAATGTATTTTATATACCTATAAATTTTTACTTTCTGATTCTGTCATCTATAATATTTTCAATAAAGATTAGATATAAATCAATAGATATTTTCTTTTAACCTTTACCACTCCCTCAATAACACGTAAGTAGCCAATAGATAACGAATCTCGTGGTGTCCTAGTCACTTCATAGTCGATCACGCCGCCACTTTTATTTATCATATTTTTATAATAAAAGAGAGATATTAGTTAAGTTGTCTCTCTTTATTTCAGTTGGTTACACTACACTACGAATATCGCTGAAGGGTATGTGGAGCAATCTCTTGCAAAAAAGAGAAAAATTTCGAATCAAATTATGGGAGTCACTAAAATTAATGAAATTGATTGTAATCAGCTAAGTACAAGTACTTTCGAAGGATACCAGCTGTATAATAATGTTTGTGAAAAAATCACGAAAACTGCATTGGCTCCAACTCTCACTTCTAGTGGTATTCAAATAACCACTGCTCAAAACTGCACGTTTAACATTAGTATAAATAATTACTCTACCACAAATTAAAAATATGTAGGATGCAAGAATGAAAATAACGTGCCTATAATTCATATTGTACCTACTTCTTAATTTTAGTTCTTTAATAAATTTTGTTTGTTAGTTTCATAAATAAATTATTTAAAAATGATTATTTGAGGGAGGCGGAAAAATCATATGTATTACTTGGGAGTAAAGTGCCTTTTCCTCCCTTGGATGTTTACTGCCCTCCGCTTCGCGTCGGGCAGTAAACTTCATCCTGCGGAAGGAAAAGTGGCACTTTCCTCCCTGGTAATACATATAGCTATTTTCTACACCCACGTGGATATTAGCTTATCTACGCAGATTACAAAACGAAAAAGTATGATATTGCCTTCAACCTAACGGATATATTTCATATCCATTCTAGGTAGTGAGAACACTGCAAAAAATGAAACCCACCAATCACCGTTCATATTTTGATCAACAGACTGCTATTATTTTTAAAATTTTAAATAAGTGACAATTCTGTCAAACTAATTGTCAGTATTTTTTTTTTAGTTATTGAGATTAAACATTAAAATAGGTTATTCTTGTGTAGAATCGATAAATAATAGCATTTCTGTTTTTATTTCGTCTATAATTATAAATAATTAGTTAATTTAAATAAATTTCGTCTTCGTGCGATATGACCATCATATCCACTCTTGTTGCACAAACTACTATTTTCTTTCTTTTTTGAACGTTATTCTGGCAAAATCGGTCTATGACCTAACTTTAACCGTTTATTTACCATAAGCTTTTTATCTCTACTACATATTTTTATAATAACTTCCTTGTATATTTTTGTTTTGTATGGTAAATAATAAACTATTATTTTTATTATAAACTACATCACCAAAGTTAAATTTCGAAAGAAGCAACACCTTATACAAAACCTATTTTATACTAAAAGATAAAATGTGAAAAATTATTTTATTGTTGAGATACGCTCTTCTGATACACAAATTTATAAACTTTACAAATTTTAGGCGATTGTCAAATATCATTCCTGATTTTAGCGCTATCAACTGGCGCCACTTACTGTCCCTCTATCTATGATGGTTTAACTTCTTTAGTTTATTTTTAGATTCAAAAACTAAGTGACGTTTTTGCAGGGTTAATACATAATGCATGATCTGAAGTTTAATAATACTAGCAATATCTTTATTTCTATTCGTTACAGCAACTCAGTAATTCTCAGGGATGAAAGAAATTTGTAACTGAGTATGATCAGTGTAAAGGTGATATTTATATAGGTAATATTTCCAATATCAGAGGCATACAAGATGAATAGAATATAGTATGGACTTCCAGATGGTATATTATGAGAATAAGAGGTGGTTGCATTAATTTTTACCATTTGTGTCCTATTACTGAAATAATTATTAATTCAAATGTACCATCAGAAAGTCCAATGGATTTTAATATTGCGCTCAATTGCCATTTTCTGACATTTTGTTTTGAACTAATTTAAAACCATATTTGACATTTTTCATTTCTATTAGCTCACACTAAACAAAAAACTAATTTCATAGAAATAGTTCTTTTCATTTCTGAAATAATAGGAGTAAATAAAATATTGACATAATTAAAATAGGTATATATAAACAAAGTAAATAACAATTATAATTATAATAAAAAACAATATAAACCAATTAATATTTAAAAGTCTATTCTCTAAGCAATAACTTTAACAATGAAGATTTTTAAATATTGAAGAAAAATGTATTTTTCTAATTATACTCAAATGTCATAATAAATTGTATATACCTAGATTTTAACATTTTGATGGTAGTTTCTGTTAATTAAAAATCATAAATGATCTAATTACTAATTCATTCGATACTTGTTTGAACTTTATTGTAAATCCAATGGTAACACTCCACGGCTTTGTATTGTGTAGTATTTAGTGCTTCTAGAATCACCTTCTGCATATATTCAGGAGATAACTGACCCCTAAAATCAATTAAAATTATTAATAAATTTAAAAGTTATAACATTGTTTTCAAGAAATGAATCAATCTTTTATGTCAATTTATGGGTCTTGACCTTCCATCATATAAACACTAAATGAATAATCTTGAATATTTTTTGACCATAAATTAAATTAAAATAGTCTTTAGAAAAAGGCAGCGTCCCATATAGAATTCATTTGAAAGATTTGATTTGATAAAATCTACGCAGATACAGCATTTTATTTTTTCATACGTGTATCCAACTGTAGGCACTATTTTGAAATATTAATAAAAATATAGGACATAAGAGCTGGAACAAAATGGCATTTGTTGCAGGTGAAGTTAATACATATTTGCGACAGTATTTTTATGAACTTAATTTTTATTTTACCGGCCTATGTTTAAGATCGAATAAATAAAAACAAAAGCAGAAATATGGCATGTATCTACAGACCAAATGACGTTAGAATAGAAGCTAATTATTTACTGATCCAACAACTCGAACGCATTTCCAGCTATGAAAATCTCGTCATTACTGGCGATTTCAACTTTCGTGACATTTCTTGGCCAATCACTCACATTCCTAACCTAAACAATCCTATGACTAATTTTATGCAACTTATTTTAGAAAGTAACTTACACCAACATGTTAATCAACCAATTAATTTTCGAATAAATAATGAACAATCTACCTTAGATCTCATCATCACCAACGATGAACAACTTATTTCAGAACTTAACTATCTTCCTCCGATTGGTATATCGGATCACCTAGTTATATCAGCATCTGCACAAATAACCTTTGATAACTCAAAAACGAATAGCTTCAACACATAGGTACTCAATAACCGATTATGACTGTTTATTCTGAGCTCTCCGTAATAAACTGGCTGCCGCTTCTAAATCCTATAGAAGATATTAATGGTATGTGGAATACATTTCACACAATAATATTTAGTACGATTGATATAAACACACGTAAAAAATATTTTCGCAAAAATCCTCTAAAGCCCTGGATCAATGCATCAGCATCAGCAATTAAGGACATTATATCAATAATGTCCTTAATTCATCACAAAAAACGTTTGTGGATAAAATATAGAAAATCAAATGTCCTGACTATCAAGTACACAGAAACTTATCTAACATACTTTCTGCTACAATCCGTTCGGCAAACTCTGACAATCCGAAAAAACTATATAAATATATCTGTAGTAGTCTAAACTCAAAAGTTTGCGTTCCTTTGTTAAGAAAAGCTGATGGTTGTCTCAGTTCCAGTAACCTCGAATTCGCAGAAATTTTGGCAGAAACATTTAGCTTAACTTTTACAAACGAAGCAAATAGCAATACGATTCCGGAAATTGTAGTTCCACGTTTAAATAGCACCTTAAGCGATGTATCGTTTACCCCCGAAATTGTCAAAAAGCACATTATGGAACTGAAAAACCACTCCTCACCCGGACTGGATCGACTGAATTCCTTCTTTTTAAAAAAGCATGATTTTCTTAGTACGCCCCTCTCAATAATTATAAATTTATCATTTCAAACATCAACCCTACCACGTCAATGGAAAGTAGCATCATTTACAGCAATTTTCAAAAAAGGCGACAAATTGGAACCTTCAAACTATCGCCCCATTAGTCTTTTATCAGTCCCGTCTGAGGTCATGGAAGCTATCATGGTTAATGCAATTTCCGAATTTCTAACAGAACATCAAATTATACCCAATGAACAACTTGGATTTGTTAAGGCAAAATCTTCTATAACTAACCTGTTGGCGTGTACTAGTGATTGGTCAAAAGCCCTTGATTCCAATATTCCTGTGGACATTATATATCTGGATTTTGCGAAAGCTTTCGATAGGGTACCTCATAAAAGACTTACTTAAACTAGAACACTTTGGTATCCGAGGCAATCTAAACAAGTGAATCGAAAATTATTTTGCCAATAGATATTTTAGTGTCAAAGTTGGGCAGTCACATTCCTCTGATCGACAGGTCACTAGTGGAGTACCCCTGGGATCGGTGCTAGGCCCGCTGTTATTTTTAGTATATGCCAGTGATCTCGCCTTACATATTCACACCTGTAAGTCTTTTTATGCGGACGACACCAAAATGTATGCAAATCCACTGCTGGAACATAACTTACTACAAAACGATGTCAATTCTATTGGAAAATGGTGCAACGATTGGTTACTGCCGTTAAATGTTAGCAAATGTGTAGTTTTGCATATGGGAAAAAACAATCCTCGCCTACAATACACACTAAACGACTACGCACTGAATAGTGTTACGTCTCATTCGGATTTGGGTGTAACCATTACTTCTGATTTAACCTGGTCTGAACATGTGCTAACTACCTGCAAACGTGCCAATTCACTTATAAATCTCCTTAGAAAGACCTTTGTGAAAATATCATTTCAGATGAAATTATTTAAAACATACGTGCGACCCATATTGGAGTATGGTGACCCAGTGTGGTGTCCAGTTCTAGTGCGTGATCAAAATCTACTTGAAAATGTACAACGACGTGCGACGCGTATAAGTTTTGGACTAAATCGATCGTATTACGCAGACCGGTTAATAATGGCGCATTTACAGACATTTCAACAGCGCCGCTTGCGAGGTGATTTAATTTTAAGTTTTCGCGTTTTAAAATTTAATTATGCTGGCCTGTTTTATTTATATTCTTTAAATCATGATAACAGGCTAAGAAGTCACCAATTCAAATTAAAAAAAGAACACTATAGGACTAAATACAGACAATATTTTTTAACAAACAGAATTTTTGATGTTTGGAACAGCTTGCCCAATGATGTTATAGACTCCACGTCGATAAACATGTTTAAAAATAGATTAGACTTTTTTATGAATAATTAATTATTTTCAAACCATATTAATTTACTATTGTTTACAAGTTATTGTAAATTGTTAGGCTATATAGAACCTAGTTTTCGGCCTTTAATTGTTTTTAATAATAATAATAATCCTAGAGATGATGGAACAAAACATTGGCTGTAGTACATGAGTGTTGTATCGAAAATCTTGAATGCTTATGGTTACTAACATATATTCTGGGATATGAAAAAAAATATATATTACTATTATTATTACCAGCAAGTTTGTAAATAAACTTGACAAAGTGATGTTTTTTAAAAATTTGGTATATTAATGAATTAATTTCTTTTTTGTAGACATATTTCATATTTAACTGAATATTTAGGTTTTAACCATCTATTAATAGTAATGATATCAAAAGAAGTTATACATTATACTTCAGATATCCGAAATTTTTATAACTTTGTTTTCAATTCATTTCACAAGACATATTTATATTTATAAACAACTGGTCCATTAAATAAGTTACGATACATTTTAATTTTTTAAAGTAAATATATTAAAATGAATATTATAAATTCATTTTACTTACACAAACACTTCATTTTTCAAGAAATCAAAACTTCTATTCACATATAAAACACTTGTTGAATAAACATTGGTCGCAGCTTTTTGTGAGCTCTCAATTAATCCAGGTAAATATGTTTCAATCTAAAATATAAAAAATCAGATTATTAATGGCTTTACCACAGTTTATAGCTAAAGAATCAGTTAGCTCACTCAGACCAACTGGATGTTCCAAAATAACATCCACTCCAGGGATACAAATTCAAATGCGCTGTTCGAATATAGGCGGTTGTCATATACTGTATTTGGTTATAGTTAAAAGAGCAAACTGCAAATTTCGACCTTCATTTGATAACGAAATATGCTCTAAAGGCATGTAACTTGTACTTTACCAAATTGCACCTCTGCCAATCCCTATCCTGAGCAAAATGGTTAAAAAATGTTAGACAATTCTTTTAAACCATAATCATAGTAGTTTTTTTTTGTCGTTTCGGCAACCTGTAAAAATGAATCATAACAATAGGCATACAAATAAATTTTTAAACCAGCAAAAATTTATTCATATTTTTAATGATTTTTACCCACTAATCGTGGATAGATGTTTTTGTGGATGTTAAGAGGAAGAAAATGTTTCCTTTTAACGATATAAATCAAGATATATTTGAATATGTTATTTTCTGGAAAACTCTAGGGCAAACAAAATAAGCGCTGTCATGCCTTTAGCCACTTTGCTCAGGATAGGGATTGGCACAGGTGCCATTTGGTAAAGTGCAATGATTTTACATGCTTTTTGGGGTATTTCATTTCGTTATCAGATGACGGTAAAAATTTGCTTGGGCTATTATGATTTAATTCTGTATGCGCTAGGGATACAAATCCGAGTTGCGCAATGTATAAACTGGAACAATGAGATCAAAAGTGCCGACGCAGAGTGAGCGAACTAATTCTTCAGCTATAAACTGTAGCTTGACAAAAAGAGTTGGTACATTTTAAAACCCGATTCCCCGGGCCTGATAATGTTTTATTCTTTTTTTAATAATTATTTTGTTGCATTTTTCGAGGAATATCAATCGATTTATATTTCCACGTATTTTGTTTGCCGGATTTAAATTGGTTCGAGACAAACTTAAACTTTGGGGACGATCCGCAAGCCAGATGTTGCACATTAGGGCTGACTTTCAGGGTACTAAATTACGTGAAAGTTGAGTGGAACCGTTACTCAATCTTTCCTTGTATAATAAATTAACTTAAGGTAAAATTAAAGTATAAATACCGCGTTCGAAAGAAGTGGGTTAGAAGAATGCCTGCCTTCCTTAAGTCCAGCTGACAAAAAAGTGTAAGATTCTGTTACCTATAAGGTGACGCATTTCTATATTTTTTTCGCTATATTGAAAGGTTTATCTCATTATTTCTAGGGTGACAGCTTTTTATTATATTTTGAAAACGTAGTAAAAGATATCGACGGAACAGATAAATTATTTTCTCTATAGATGACTTCTGTTTTTAATAATTTTACTATTCAAAATTTGTATTTAAGAGCAAACCGCACACCTCGAAAATTAATAATTCATTCTGAGCCTTTATTTTTAGTCAGACTTTTGTGAAATTTTTAGGAAATACCGATAATAACAAAACTTATGGTGGAGAAACCTTGAATTCTTTGTAAACCTTAGCAAAGTATTTATTTTGAAAAATTTTAAAAACAAATAAAAAAAAACATTTACGTGCCATTCTGTATTAAATCTATAAAAATTTACTGCTTTTTGTTTTAATAAATATCTAGTAGTTTTTAAATGGAATGCTTTCCCACCTTTTTTTCTTAAACGTCTCTGTAGAGTGCTACTTTATAGTTGCACAAATTTAAAGCTCTCAATATTGTCAAGACACATAATTTTATATTAGAAAATCCTTAAAACATTTTTCTTTCGCAAGAGGTCCGGTTACCTCTTAAACAAAATTGATTAAAATGTAATTTATAATTTATCTTGTTTAATATTACATATGAATTCGTTTATGTTTATTGTTAATAGTTAAATTAAGATCATAGTTATTATATTGGTTATTATAAAGAAATAAAAATTAAGTAGAAGAAATTATTTCTTTCATATTTTATTTCTTATTGTATAAAAAAGAATTAAAAAAAAAATAAAGCAATGTTGTTCAATTGAAATAGTTTCTTGGTCGTAGAAAAAATAGTGTATGCAACTCTCATGTAATACATGATCGTTGTATAATATACTATTAGTATATTTTTCATCTTGTTTATGAGCAACTTAGAATACTCATGTCCGACACCTAGAGTAACTACTGTTGGTTATGCAGATGACACTAATCAACTTATTGCTGAAAACAATCTGTCTGATACAGTTTCTGCCTCAAATATTAGCGCAAATGAATTCCAACATTGGTGCTCAAATAATGGTCTATTGCATAATTCTAATAAAACAGTATTTATGCTTTTCCAACCAAAACATTCAAGACTCGACGAAAGTCAATTAATAAAAATTGAACATAAATCTCTACACCAGTTAAGGGAGGTCAAGTTTTTAGGTCTAACAATCGATCTTAAGCTCACATGGGAAAGCCACATAGATAATCTTACATCTAAGCTATGTAGCATTTGCTTTGTCATCAGACAACTTAAACCAACTGTGACTTTGGATGTACTAAAACTAACCTACTACGGACTAGTGCATTCGGTACTTTCATATGGCTTGATTTTCTGGGGAAATTCGGCCCATATGAATAAAGTCTCTTGCAAAAAAGAATTATTAGATGCATGATAGGAGCCTAGCATTCGGAACATTGTCAGCAACATTTTATCAAGTTATCAATATTAACTCTTCCATGCTTATTTATTTATCTATCGGTGTTATATATTAAAAAAATATTTCACATCAAACAACTAATAATATGATACACCCCTATCCTACTCGAAGAGGTGTAGAACTTCGTACACCCTTCTCAAGATTAACAGTGGGTCAAAACTCTCCGTATTATCAAGCAGCCATCTTGTTTAACCATTCTGTTAGAATTTTAGGCAATATAGAAAACTTTAAAAAATTCAAATTTATGCTGTTTCAGTTTCTTGCAGGTAAGGCCTTTTACTCTGTTGATGAACTGTTAGCATATTAATTTTATAACTTAAAATATATTTTACCTAATGTTAATTTTAACTGTCTTTTGTATATTACACAGGGTGTTTATTAAGTACTTGTACAAACTTTAAATGGTGAATCTTTGACTTATTTTATATGAACACATGTCCTAAACCTCTTAACTTTTGAGCTACAGGGTGGTAAAGTTTTCAAAAAAAAAATTTTTTTTAATAACTAAGAATATTGCAGATATTTTTACAAAATTTGGTACACGTCTCCTACATATTATGATGCATTTTTTAATGTACAAATAATTTTATTATTTCTACCAGTGGCGCCCGTACGGGTTTCGTATTAAATATTTTTGCCGAAAAAAATAGTACGCCACTGCTTCATCTTAAAATAACAAATATTTTTGCAATCCTCCTTTAGTTTTGAGCAAATTTGGTCTGATGAGTTTTTTCTCCGACGCATAGTTTTCGTCCGACGCATAGTATTCTGCATGGAACAAGTGAAAAAATGTGACTTTTATTGATCAATATTGTTATGTGATAAACTTAGATTATTTACAGACTAAGACTAAACTACTTTTACAAATAAGTTAATAACATTTACAACAATTGCTGAAAACGCCCGCCGCCTACTGCAACGCATGCGTCAATTCGCCTTAACTTTGATTGACATACTCTTTCGAATATACCTGGTGTCTGATTAACAATGGCACACGATTCAAATATCCTGTTTCTTGCTCATTTTGAACGGATGTTTTGTAAACTAGTGTCTTTAAGTGACACCACAGAAAAAAATCCAGAGGATTTAAATCTGGTGATCTGGGAGGCCAGGCTTGCGGTCCCGCTCTTCCTATCCAACGATTAGGATAATTCTCGTTCTGTACTCTTCGCCATTTAGCCTTTGTGGAAGAATGCAAGGTCCAATAAGGTGATCCCCGATAATTCCGACCCAAATATTTAGAGAAAAACGATCTTGGAAATTATTTTCTATGATAGCATTGGGATTATCCTCAGACCAGATATGGTTGTTGTGGAAGTTCATGATGGCGTTTCGAGAAAAAGAAGCTTCGTCTGTAACAAGTACATGGCCTAAGAAATCCGGGGTTGTTAATAATTTATTTCGCAGCCAAACGCAGAAATCTACTCAGAGAGGAAAATCTCTAGGTAGTAATGCCTGTACACGTTGAATATGATAAGGATAAAGTTGTTGAGATTTTAAAATTTGTCACACAATTGTATGCGTAATATTCAATTCATGAGCAATTTTCCTTGTACTAGTTTGCGGGTCTTCTTCAATTCTATTTAACACAGCTTCTTCAATTTAAACTGTCCGAACTGTCGCAGGCCTTCCTGGGATATCAATTGTTCTTTTAAAGCTGCCAGTTTCACAAAGTCTTGCGTGAATATTAATGAAAGTTTGGACATGTGGAACCACCCGTTGAGGAAATCGGGCTTGATACATTCTTTTTGCATGTGCGCCATTCCGTAGACGAAATGAATGTCTACCATTTCTGCATTGGTATATTCGTACATTTTGAACACAATAATAGACAATAAATTATTACATACATACATTTTTAAATGACAAAAACCATGATCTTTTTTTTTTAATAAACTGTCATGACTGATTCCGCTACCATGGAAACCTCTCGGTTGTTTGCAAGGCTTGCTATGCATGTATGTACAATTGTACATTTTAGCAATTTGACTCTGAAATAATACGGATTTTATTTTTTAAAGCGTAAACTATGCATCGAACGAAAAAACTCAAGAGATTAAATTTGTTTAAAAATAAATGAGGATTTCAAAAATAATTTTTGTTTTAAGATGAAGCAGTGGCATACTATTTTTTTCTGCAAAAATATTCAATACAAACTCCGTAGGTATGGACGCCACTGGTAGAAAACATAAATTTGTACATCAAAAAAAGCATCTTAATGCATAGTATACGTGTACCAAATTTCGTAAAGATATCTACAATAGTCTCACAGTTATTGGAAAAAATAGATTTTTTTCTGAAAACTTTACCACCCTGTAGCACAAAAGTTAAGAGGTTTAGGACACGTGTTCATATGAACTTTTTGCCTTAAAATTAGTCAAAGATGCACTATTTAAAGTTTGTACAAGTACTTAATAAACACCTTGTATATTATCTTAGCTCTAGAATTTTAAACTTGTATGAATTGGACAGTGTGAATGGTGTTTCTGTTTTTTGTATGGACGTACTGTGTATGAGCCAACTAGTCTGATAAGTTATTTTGAACATTGTAAAAATGTAAAAAAATACTTTATTGACGAATAAATTCTATTCTTAAAGGTGCCTATTTGTTAACTATAAGGTGACCAAACGGACGTTTTAAAAGAGCTTAATTTTCTCTCCTCTAGTGGCTTTGTAGGATTCTTTGCGTTACTTGTCTTGATGAGACAGTTGTCTCTATGGTGACAACACCGGATTAAGAAATATTGAGTTATTTAGTACCTCTGATTCAACCTAATAACATTTTTGATATGCGGCTTAAAGTGTTGCGATTGTCGTTCTATTTTTGTCGGCGACATATTTTTCTTCATTGTGAGGTCCATGTTGCGTATATTTTACCGATAATCGTATTTTCTTTTAGTCGCTACGATTATCGGTTTTTTCGACGCACTCCCTTACCTAGTGTTCCATCCGTTTTATAGTAGTCATGAAGTCATCAGGGGAGAGTTCAGTACGGTTTTATTAGTTATCACTTTATTATCAATTATGTGTTTAAAAGGGGAACCATTTTTATTTGGGTAAAATTTTGTAAATTGTAATTGTTGTTATGTGGGTATTTTTTTTTTTAATTTCATTGTCATTGCATTGCATTTTATTTCATAGTGCAATTAATTTGAATTGCGGTCATAAAAATCAATTATTGTAAATCCATCCACGTCCACAACAACTAATAAATTAAGCCCTTCCGATTTATGACCATAAGAATCAAGTGCCAAATCCCTTCATTCACAAATATTTAAATTTTATTATATTTGTAAAGTGCTAATGTTAAGTAAATTACGATAATGTTTTCTATCAATCCGTAGGTTGCAAAAATGGGTAAAATCATGTCTTATTTCTAAACGTTGATATTTCAGCTTTTTTGGGTTTTTAGAGAGTGAATATGTACAGAGGCGGGTAACAATATAATTGTTTAGGGGGCGTCCATTAATTACGTGAGGTATTTTTGAGGATTTTTTGACTCCCCCTCCCCCCCTGGCGAGATTTGGTAAGATTTTCCTTAACTCCCTCCCCCCCTTCCCTAATCTCACGTGAGATTTTTCAAAATTTGTGTTTTGGGTGTAAATGTGTTGGATTATTAAAAAAAAAAACAAAAACACAATATGTTCCATTACTTTTATTTAAGACTAGCAAAGACTAGTGTTTGAGAGTGTTGCAATTATTTAAAATCACATTAATAAAATTAAATGATAAATACTTAAATGGAAATTAATAAAAAATAAATAAACATAATTATAAGATTTTTCCATATTTTATTCTAGAAATACTATAATTTAACTTTACTTTCACGCAATTTTATACCGTTTTCTACTAGAAAAAAATTACGTGAGATTTACGAAAACCCCCTCTCCCCCCCAAGTGAGATTAAGAAAGATTTAGTTTTATCCCCTCCCCCCCTTGAACACCTCACGTAATTAATGGACGCCCCCTTAGGTTAATACACATATTATACTCCTCATACACTGTACATCACTTTAACACATAGGTTAAAGAAATCTGGTATAATTGTTATCCTTTCCCATGCCACAAACTGTCTACGTAAATTGGCGGCATATGAAAATCTTTTTTATTACTAATTTTAGGAAAAAAAAGGTGTTCTTTATAAAAAGTCGAGTATGGTCTAAAACCTAAAATACAACCATCAAATATCAAATTTAATCAGTCGTATAAAGAATAAAGGTACTTTACTCTTGAGTAAAACTCATATTTTTTGACAAACCTCGTATACCACTGAAAAATTTGATATTTGATGATTGTTTTCAAGGTTTTAGATAATGCAGAACTTTTTATAAAGAATAACTTTTTTCCTAAAATTAATAATAAAAAGTTTTCCATATGATTCCAACTTAGGGGGGACATACTGTATATAAAAGCGAAATACCACTCACTGACTCGTTACCAGATCTCCATAACTATAAGCCCTATTGACGAAATTTGGCATGGTTACTCACTAAGAACGAATTTTATAAACGTCACATTTTAAGGGGGGGGGGGGGGGGGAAGTTTGATGGGAGTATCGAATTTTTTAAAGGTAGGAACTTGAAAATTTGCATTGGATACATAACCAAATTAAATGTACTATGTAATACACTTCTTGACTCATTAGGACAAACATAAGGGGGTCCAAGAATTTTGGCGATGTGGGAAGTTTAGTACTTACAGATTCATTTATAATCGGATATTTCTCGAGAGCCGCTTCTTTTAGATTGTACATGAAATTACGTCCTATTTTTACTAGGTTTATAGATAACCTTACGTATGGTTCTGAAAAGATAACTATTTGTTGTTGCAATCCAGGAAACTGTTCTTCAATTTTTTCACTTGACCAATTCAATCCATTCTTTATTTTATCCATTGCCAAATGTGAATATTCACATGCATGATACTCTTTCAAAACTTTTATTATAACACTTTCTGTAACAAATAAAATTATTTCATTATATTAAGAAACTATACCTAGCATAGTTAATTTATTATTTTTTAAAATGACATACTAGGTTACTGTGGTTAGCATGAAAACAATACAAAATGGCAATATATACAGTTACTTAAGGTATTTCATTATAGCAGTTGGAAGCGGGCCGAGGTTTGCTTTCCTAGCCTCTTCAGTCATACTGGAGGGATTAGGTGGAAGGAATGGTGGTAGGTATCTAAGAAGATGTTACTGACCCAGCATTTTTGCACTTGCTATAAGAAAACCTGTGAAAAACTCATAGAATGCCAAGCAGCAGTGGGGTTCGAACCCACGACCTTTGATTACAGTTGCTCATATGCGGTGCTTCTTAAGTAATTGTAATAGAACATTGATATGGCAACCTGAGATGCGAATTGCATAAATACAAAGTGAGATCAGTCTGCCAATTTTCTGTGGCAAATGGTTTAGCCAATGCCATCCTTTTTTCCCTTCACACACACACACACACACATCAGTCTGCCAATATGCTACTTTATCGGTTATATTTCTAGTGCCATTTGTGTAATTAAATTTAATTTTCATTCGTGTTTGAACCATTTTTGAGTGTTAAAAACTTATAAAGTGCATAATGCCTTGCTGCGTTATACATTACTGCTCTAGTGATCCTAAGAAATGAAACGCAAATCCAAAGTTTGTCAACAGGCTTAACTAGGAACCTTCTCAATTCAGTGTTATATGTTCCAAACAGTTTCTTGATAATTACATTGATTGTACTTTTTCAAGTCTTGTTCGATTAAGAGATAATGCAATTCCTACACTTGGTGGATTTCGGGTAATTACAATTATAGTAATTAAAGTCCTCAAGAATAAATTAATATCGAACAAAACCGCATTAAGAAGAACTTACAATATACTTATACTTCCACTCAAAAATCAACCAAAACTTATTTCTTCCTTAATTTTCGCTTAACTATATCATCAAAAACGTTTCATGACGTTAACTTTTAATCAATTAATAGTATATTATGCAACGATCATGTAATGATGGTTATTAATACACGAGCATTAACCGGGATACGAAACGAGCCAAAGGCGAGTTTCGTATGGTTTATGCGAGTGTTTTAATAACCATTACATGAGAGTTGCATACGCTATTTTTTCTACACCCGATAAATAATCAAGACCTATAAATATTATATTTATATTGGTATTGAACACAATAACAGTAATTACTCGTATTTCTATAAAAAATTCTACAAAATTGTAATTAATGGTATTACTTCAGGTATTGGTATTTCCCTAGATTTTTGCGGTAAAATATTTTGTACTGTATTTTCTGCTTTCTCCGATATGTGTGGAGGAGTCTTCTATATCGCTAATATCAGACATTTTAATATTATAATATTATCGAAGTTTAGCTACCTACGAAAATTTAATACGTTTTGACAACTAAAATAATTACATAGGAACCTAGGACAAACGTCAAACAGCATGCTTGATTGAAAAATTGTAGGTTTCTATTGATTAAAAATCTGTATCGTAATGAAAAATCTGTATCATAATGGGTATCATTATGAAACGGATTATGGGCATATAAGTGCATTATTATAATACGGGTGTAGAAAAAAATTAATCTGACCTTTATTGTTACTGTCAAAAACCTACCTACTATTATTATTACTTCTGGTTCACTTCAGATGTATATCTAAATTTTTATATTCGAAATATCATTTATTTTTTTCGAAATCACATTTCACCTACAATCTGATTGATTGTTGCTGAATAAATCTATAAGATGATTTAGTAGAATATACTTTATCTCACCCTGTACAGTTTTAACTTAGGCTGGACCACATTTAATTTCTTGGAGGTCTGATATTCATTTTTATCTTTCTTTCATCTCTATCAGTAGAGAATGAAATATATCAGAAATAGTACAAATAAAAACTTGTAAATATAGACCTCTTTTTTCGCCATATTAAGGCGGGTATAGATCTGAGCAGGTACGCTTATGAGGCAAGCAGAGATCGAATCGAATGCCTCGTGGGGTGACTTTTGTACTCACGAATAGTAGACGCACGAGACACAGTTCGCTACAGTTTTATTATTTTGTCTTGCTCTCCATAAGATACCTCGCTGATTATGTAAATACAGGAGCAGCAAAACATTTTCCTGCCAAAGGAGAGTTACAAACATACATACAGGTAAAGCTAATAAAAGCGTGTTAAAAATAATTCCAATTTATATTGCGAGTGATGCAGACTGCAAGCGATCTACCCATGATCTACAAATTCATTCATTATTTAAACCAAAATTTCGAGTGATAAATCAGTCGAGTACCAAGTACTCGATTATTAAATTAATTGGTTTTTTCCAACACTAGTACTGCGTACGCCTCCCTTTGATGTACCGCCAGCAAACAGACCGTAGCGAGGCCGCACGGTGCACAGAGTGAAACAATTTGCCGCACCTCGGAAGCTCGTCCACATCTGCATGTTCATGCGTCCTCGGCAGTCGGCTTGCCTCATATGCGTAGGTGCTCAGATCTGTACTTACCTGCCTTTAGTCCGTATAAAAGACACGCCTATCAGTTCCAATTTTCTATGCAGGGTGTAACAAAAAGATATACAGTAAATTTAACCATAGGTTCTGCGGTCGAAAATAAGACGATTTAAATTAACTTGCATTTATAGAAAATGAATAGTAAAAAAGTTATAGGGTGTTAAAGTAGAAATTTTACAAGTGATTTTGTGCTCTTACTCTAAAACGGCTTAACATATTTTTATGAAAACGTAATGGGATGTTACTACACAGTGACCAAAAAAAATGTAGTTAGTGGCGTTTAAAATTGTTTTAATTATATAGGTTTTTAAAAGAGTTTCGGATCCCTTTGACCCCCTACTTTTTTTAGAAAATGGTATTTACCGAAAAAAACATGACGCCACTAAAATGCTACGTTTTGAAATTTTTTTGCTTCTTAGTATTTGTTTGCAAAAGCCTTAATTACTGAGTTATAGGCTCCAGAAGGTAACTCATAGTGAAAAATACAATGAAATTTTTCTATTTGAAACCACTGAATATTTGTTCATGAATTTTGTTTACTATTTTACAACTTTATTGAGATCGATAATACAAGGGAATAATTTTATTGTAAATGAAGTTGTAAAATAGTAAAAAAAAATGGTGTGCAAATATTCAGTGGTCTAAGTTAAGATCAATAGAAAAATTTCATTGTATTTTTCACTATGACCTTCCTTCTAAGGCCTATAACTCTGTAATTAAGGCGTTTACAAATACCAGGAGACAAAAAATTCAAAACAAATATAGAATTTCAGTGGCGTCCTGTTTTTAGGTAAATTCCATTGTTTAAAAAGTAGGGGGTCTAAGGGGTACTGAACCCTTTTAAAAATCAATATAATTAAAACAATTTTAAATGCCACTAACTCCATTTTATTGGGCACTGTTTACTAACATCCCATGTATATTTTCATAAAAATATGTTAAGCCGTTTTAGAGTAAGAGCAAAAAATAATTTCTAAAATTTCTTCTTTAACACCCTGTAACTTTTTACTATAAATTTTTTATATAAGCAAGTTAGCTTGAATCGACTTATTTTCGACCCCAGAAACTGCACTGCACATCTTTTTGTTACACTCTGTATCAAAAAATAGTTTCAAATGACTTATCCTCAGGTTGCCATATCAAAGTAATAAAAGTATAGTAGATTTTTGATAAAATATTGATAGTAAGACAGATAAAGGGATAAAGACGAAATTTTAAAATTGAAATCAATATATTTTATAGGGGGCGCAATAAGCCACATGCGTGGCATAGTAGTAAAGTTTCCGTTGAATTCCAATGGAAGTCACTTGATATTTTTTATTTAAACAAATTTTTTAAATCCAAAAAAATTGAATTTGTAGATATTCGTCCGTATAGGTAAATAAATTGTAACTAAAATTAACATTGGGAAGAAGTATAACTTGAAAATATAAATTAAAAAGTCATCCTATTGGAGTAAGCTTAAAAAAGAAGAAACAATTGAAGAGCAGACAACAAGAACGATGAGTCACTTTTTTTTAACGAATTAAGTGCAGGATAAAATTGCTGAGAGTCTAATATATGCTAAACTGGTTTACACAGCAGTAAAACTTTTAGTAATAGAGTTATTTCAAAAATAAAAAATGGTGTACACTGCAAAGACGATGAATGTCACAAACACAGCAAAAAACGGTTAAGGTCAATGTACGACGTGCAACAAGAAAAAATATGACATTTTTATATAATTTTTCTTAATATTCCTGCTCAAAGTATATTTTGGTTTCCAAACTTAAAGTTTAGTTTACGGATACTTAACTTTGAATGACTCGTCATTTTTGCTTTAGACTCTTTAGCTGAAGACCATGCAGAAGAAATTAATCACAGCTTAAGATCACAGAATGAACTTAATCATTAAATACAGTTTCTAATGGAAATTCGTGAAAATGTACATAAAATTCCAACACATGGTGCATGCATCTTGTATTAGTGTTATGGCTCTTCCACATAACGATTAAACTGGCAATAGTGGCACTTTTGTTGGTCTATTTAATGATGGGTGCTATGAGCAAATTTTAAATATTTCAACTGTTTAATTCTCTGAATATTGTTTTTAGATTATTGTTGTAAATATAAAGCTAAGCTTTTTTAAATGTTCTACTACATTGATAGAATTATTATTATTATTATTAGTTTTGTAAGTTTTTTCTATGCAGCCTGTTTTAAATTATACTTTTCTTTTCCATACACAGATCAATGTCATTAATCTAAGGATTTTTCCTAATTTAAACTAAAATAGTAGTTTGCACATGTTGCACACTATACTTTAATTTTATTTGTGTTGCACATACAGACGCTTCCATCTAGGTACAACTAATAAATAAATAATAGAAGTGTAAATTATAATTTGTAGATTATATTATTAAACTATAACTTTTTCTACAACTACACTATTTAGAGCTTACAAAATGTAGATCTGTAGATTTTATTACAGAGTTGTACTCAAGGGGGTGATTTTGGAGATAAAATACCCCTCATTATGTTAAGTAATTAAAAATTGTGGAAAAGGGAAGATTGATTAAAAATGGTTAGAAAATATTAAAAAAGGGATGTTTATTCGATAACAATGATGTCAAATTTATAATATTTTGTTATATAGGAAAAAATGGACATATCAGAACAGAATACTGAGTTCCTATAAAGCTGAAAATGTTTTAAAAGCAGAAAAAAAAGAATTAAAAAATAGTGATAAATGAATGAACTTCATTATGATTGAAACAAGAAAAATTTTCAAGAAAAGGTCTGCCGGATTTGATTAAGATGGAAGAGTATAAATATTTTTTGGGTTTTTTCATACATCTATTGACTTTCCGCAATGGTCATAAAAAACTGATATTGTCTACAAAATTACTATAAAGAGGTCTTCAAAAACATTTATTCAGTATCATTAGCTATCCAGTCGGCTGTTCAATCAACATCTTTTAAAGAACCTTTTTTCGAAACAAAATCGATGCATTGAAAGCAGAGTCAAAAACTTTTAAAACCATCATTCTAATGGAAGAAAAAGTTTTTTGTCCAAAAATGTAAAATCATAGATTGAATCGAAATGCAAAACACATCCATTCAAAATTTCCATAATCTGGTCCCGGCCGATTTTTTTATTTGCACACCCTACATAGATTATCAAACACAAAACTAGAATGTGAATGTTTACAAAATGCAAAGAATCTTTGTACAGAATAGCAAGATGTAAGCAGGATACAAAATCACTAAGATTCTCCACCTTATACATACCCACATTCTAGTTTTATACTTTTATTTGGTTCACAGGGGCATTCAAATAGCAGATATTTTAAAATGTGCCTTCTAGTTTTTGTAAATTGCATAAATCGCTTTGGAATTATTTAAGAAAGTAGAATTATAATGCATCATTTTTGGCAGGTAGTTTACCCCTAAGTAGGAGGGTGAGTGGCTCAGTGGTTAGAGCAAATACAAGGGTTCACGTTTTCGAATCCCACTGTTGGCAGGGATTTTTTATTTAATTTTAAAAATAATTCAGATGCCAAGGCAGGATTCCCTCCGACCATTCACTGTTGGGTCTATTAATAGTGCTTTTACTGAAGTGGCACTGGGAAATAGTAACAATGTCTACACAGAACAATCAAACACAAACTGATACTGGCATATTAGGAATATAGGTACACCCAAGCCATAAAATAAAACAAAAAATACCCCTTCATAATTAATAACAATAAAGTACAATTTATCTTAAAAAAATGTAAGACTACAGTGTAACATGATTTTCAAGGTGGTAAATTTTAATACTCTCCTAATGTATGCAGCATAATATAGTTTTCCAGAAACACAGAAGTGTCTAAAAGTATAATTTTTTTAAGCGCATCTTTAATTTAAAATTTATTAAAATACTTAATGCCAATTTTAACATGCATATAATTTCTAGATTCATATTAACCAATTAATCTTGACTCTTGACCTTATTAGTGTAGGTATGCAAATTGTAGATTTGTGCCCAGTTCTGTAAAAATAATCTACTTAAATTTAAAAAGAGTTCGTAAATTTACACCCATTTATTTTTATTTAAAGAGTTAATAGGATTAAATAAAGCAAATAAAAGTCATTAATTTTTAACTTTCAAAAAATTTCTCACCATAGAGTCACACCATATTAGTTAATCAAATGAAGTAGAGCTGTAAGAAAAAGTATCTTCTAATTATGATAAATAAATAAGTTTTAATGTAGATAGAGGTTTATAACTCCGGCTACTAGATGTCTAATAAGTGATTTATAGCAATGTAACAGTTTAAAATAAGAAACAGAAATATTGTAATTGGCGTTGCTCACATTCCTCTCGGCTCACTGTGGCTGGAGGAGTACCTATGTAAAATATCTTTACCGAATCTTAAGTGCCTATTTTACTTACTATTCGCATTTCCTTGTCTAGTATCATAAAAAACAAAACCAGCAATAACTATTGTTAAAACATAAACAGTTAAGTAAGGAAAACCTTTCTTCTTTAGAACGATGTTCTCGGTTTTTTCGGTTTTTTCTTTTTTTTCTTGATTTTTCTGAAATATATTGTATAATGAAATAATAGCTAGACATGTTATTCTACAAAAGAAAACAAATGTGATGATAAAATACGAATTATATGGGTTGATATATAATATATTCAAAATAAAACTTTACCTTTTTTGAAGCCATTTTTAATGTTCTTTAAATTAAGAAGTTTTTAGTGATTACTGATACTTTTTCTAAAATTAAATAATCTTTGGGGTTCAAGGTTAGATGTAAAAGATTAAGAATTGAGATTATACTTTGCTTAAACAAGTCTCATATATAAATTAATATGAAATTAATTTTAGAAATGCAATATTTTGCATTTGTTAACTGTCAATAAAGTGTTGATTTGACTGTTGACGTGTTGACACAAGTGACAGTGGCGGGTAGCGTGGCGGTTGGTTGGCGCACGAACCGTGGGTTGGCGCGTCATTGGCCTTATCATGGCCTTATTCGTAGAAGTAGTCGGTTTAATGATTATCAGTGTTGCCAGATGTTACAGGAAAAATGACACAATATTATTAAAATTTTAAATTTTCACCAAAATTATGTTTAATTCCTAATATTTGGAGGGAAAGGAAATATAATTTATTAAAGAGAAAAATAGGTTGTTTAAAAAATAACAACAAATAAATATTTAAAAAAATATTGATGACCAATATACGTAATAACAATAACCATGCTTAAAAAATTCACATAGGTAGGTTCAGTTTCTAAATTAGAGAATTCCCATGTAGGTATATGAAAATCGCACAATGATTCGTTAGTAAATGATGCATGTCAGGCATTTTTTTAAAATTATGTTAAAAAGTTAAAATTGATAATTATGTTCTCCACAATATTTTTATGGGAATCCGTCTGAAATTATGTTAAAATTCGATAATTATGTGTTGACTGGCAACACTGATGATTATCAACACGAGGAGAGAGGAAAAGTACAACAAACAGTACACATAACAGTGCGGCCCGTATGAAGGGGTAATATATTGTTAATTATAATGAAATGTTAGATGAAAGAGGATGAGACCTCGAGAATACAGTGTTCTGTGAGAATATCCTCTTCGATTGTTCGACGCTCTCATTTATTAGAAAATTTGAATTTGGTGAGTTTTGGCTAATACTGACCGATAGCGGTGCTTCGCTATCTCGTCGACGTTGTTAACTACATTAAATCTGTAGACTGGCTGATGAGCTAAAATAGTGCCTATCCAGAAGGATGCACAACGGGCCTAATGAGGCCTAAGTATCGTGGGGTAACATTTGCTACACTATACTTGCCTCAATCAAAGTCCAAAAAAATTATTGTTTTTATTAAGGGGTCATCTAGTACAATCAAAAAATGTTTATTTTGTATTTATTAAACTACAACTAGGAGATATAAGTTCTAAGCTATTTTTCGCATTATTTTGAACTTCAATAACACTTGGTTTCAAAAAAGCATTTGTACAGCTACGAGCTAGGTATAAGTAGGCGTTTGTAATAAATCGTACATTATCTTTTACCTTTATCTATACGTAAGTATGAGTATTAATGACATTTGTTTACTTATATACTATATTGGCAAAGCATTGAATTTTAAATAAATTGAACTATTATCGTTGCTATATAAATCTTTCACTGTTTTGAGATCTTCCACATACCTTGTTTAGGTTCAAGTTTTTTTAGCCACAATTGATGTTGGAAAACGTTTCTCGGAAACCTATCACTGTATATACCATACCATAAAATAATCAGTTTATACAATTAGGTATTATTTCTGTGGCTTTGTTTTAAGAGGGCCAATCTCAGAATTATATAATTTAAGCAAAGACCATTTAAAGTATTTATGAAAACTGAGTCGATTAACGATGTCATAAAGTGAATGTTGGTAATAATAGCACTGATGCAAACTTTCGTTGTACAGTTGTCTTTGTTATTGAATTGAGTAGAGATATGGGGCGGTAACTCTCTATATATTTACCATTTTTCCGGTTTTTGATCAGTATAATATTGGCCACCTTAAGTGTCTTGGGATCCCAGGGCCTTTCTGTTGCGTAACCTCAAGGTAGCATCTCTGACCTCCCTGGGGTTAGTAAGTTGTTTCTCGGGTACATCTTGTTGTGGCATTAACCTAATATCTTACTATGTTTTCTATAATTTGTTGCTGTGCATCGTTATTTTGATTGTTTCGGAAATTGTTTTCAAAATATTGGCCAAACGCTTCCTCTTTCTGGGCAATAATGTACGCGGTTTTTTAAACCGCTTAGGACCTATTCCACCGTTTAAAATGACATTTTTACATTAACAATGTCATTTTAATCTCCGTTTTACACAACGGTGGAATCGACTCTTAGCAATCTTCCACACTTAGAGCCGATTCCACCGTTGTGTTAAACGGAGATTAAAATGACATTGTTAATGTAAAAATGTCATTTTAAACTTCGTTTAACACAACGGTGGAATCGGTCCTAAGTTGTCTTTCTCGGTGATATGTCTCGTAGTATTTGTCCCTCATACTTTATTTCTAAGGTCTTTTATAGCTTTGTTGATCGTGCTAGCGATGTCCATCAGTCGTACTCTGTTTTCCGCTCTTCGATGTTTTGTTACCTTCTTTTTCTGATATTATTTTTAGTGTTTATCATTTCCATCACTTCGTCAGGTAGTTTTTCACTATGGGATTTGATTATTTTTACGACTGTCTATCCATCTCTGGCTTTAATTATGGCTTTTGCCAGTTTGTCTTGTTATGTCTACGTTGTAATGTTATTGTTGACTCTACAGAGTGCTAGTACAGTAAGTCCCTATATACCTTTTCCAGGTTTATGAACATGAAAACTACTCCAAAGAGTTTCTTGGGTCTTCTGAAAATTAGCAGTGAGGATATCGAAAGCCAAAAGTGAAATTTAGTACAAATAATTTTATTCAAAATACAACAGATTGTTTTTCATTTCTAAATATTGAAAAAGTTTTTAGTAAATTAAATTATAAATATTTTATAATTATTTTTAGGGTAAATTTTAATGCTTATTCTACCTCCTACTGAGTATAGTGAAAGACAAAGTCTAGAAGAGATTTATCTTTACTTTGCACATAGATTGGTAAAACTATTAATGGATATCCTATTCCTTGTAGGGTAAACAAGTCTGAAAAAGTTATTGATGCAATAACTTCTAAGACGGACACTGGATCAGAAAATTTAAGTTGTTCCGCCGAAATTGTTCAAAAAGTGACTAAATTCAGAGAAATGTATATTAAAAATAATATGTAAATTTAAATACATCTTTATGATTTTTGAGTTAGTACTGATACCTGTTTTTAGAAAATATTTCCTTGCATATTATTTTCGAGAATAAAAGTCCAAAAAATCTAGTCGACAGATTATTATTGAACAGGTTGCTTACCTGGAACAAAAAAGCAGAATAGTCTTGGCAAAGCACAAGAAGGTTGTAATCTAGAATATGTCAAGATTCTCTTCTGAAATGTTTACGAGGCCAAAAATTGCATGAGCGGAAGGGCAACAAAAGCAATTGAGGTACCAATACATGTATTTAGAATTAAAATAAGAGTTCATTTTGGTGATATACAATAATAATAATAATAATAATAATAATAAAGTGGCGCTGGGAAACAGTAACAAAGCCTACACAGAACACGAGGCTAATGGCCATAGTAGTCGACGCCGATGACACCAAATAAAAAAAAAAAATAATAATAAATTGTTTATTTGGAAAAAGTACACACATTAATCGATAAATACATATAAAAATACATACTTGTTGTCATTTAAACATATGTAGTCTATGCACAACTTTGGTTTTAATGGTATTTTTGGTAGGTACTTTTTTATATTTATTTTACATTGTATGTTTATATTTCTTACACTGTGTTTTTAAAATTATGTATCTTTTGGGTTAATTGTTAATTGGGTTAATTTTTGTACATTTTTGGATGAATATTTGAGTCTTATACCTATATATGAAAATATCGGGACGGTGGTGTAGCGGTCTATCGCGCTTATATTCATTTATAGGCAAGTTTATGAGTCTGAGACTGCTGGGTTTCGAATCCCAGACCATGTGGATTTTTAATTAAATTGCATGGTTCGGTTTAGGATTTGATGTGTGGCGTATTAATAGAAATTCAAATTCTGTTGATATGACATGAAGATTAAAAAAATTCGCCATACATTACCGTCTCGATGATGGTGGGTGAGGTTTTCCGGGTTTTCCTCAACTGTAAGTCAAATGGCACCATCAATCATCTTTAAGTCGCCCCGGAGCGCCACGGCAAATAATAATAATAGCCGTCCCTTCCCCTACACAAGTCGTTCAGTAGACTTCAGGGGTTAATATTCACTCGTAAGGGGGTGAATTAGGGAGAGTATTATTAATATTATTATTATATATACAAAAAAAATTAACACACACAAGATGTACATAGGCAAATTTATGTCATTCTATACATATAAACCATATTTAAAGTGTGATCCTTGAAACCCAATTTTTATAAATATCGTTTATTACATTTGAATAAAAAATATAAATTTTTTTTTTTAAATAAAATTTTGTTTGAATTGCATTTTCTTTAAATCCTTTACATACAATACAGTAAAAACAATCCTTTGGAGTCTCATGGAAAAGTACTTGATACGCCCATGTAGAACCAAACTGTCAAACATTCGTATATATTTTTACTGGCACTGGCTTCAACAAAGCTTTTTGAGGTCTATTCTATTCTGTCTGTGTATTCTGTTCCTGACGTTCTGACGTTAGTGACGTTCCTGTTTATCTGAGGCCTGAGGAAATTAAAATGATAAATGATACAAAAATATAAAACCTCAAATAATAATTGTGATAAGAATTTCGTGTGATTTCTGTTTAAATTATTATTACCCTTGGCTGAGTACGTCCTTTGAACAAAAATCGAAGCTATATTTTTCTTCGACGGAGATTTTTAAAGGGACCACAACTAACCTGTCATAACCCATGGTATAAAGTCATAACCTATAACCACAGAAACAAATAACACTTGTCTCTGAGCATAATAATAATAATTGAAAAAGTCTTCCTATCCGAAAGCAGCAGAATGGTGGTTGGTTATGCAGAATTGTTCAAGTTTGTGAAAAATGCAATTAAATAATTATATCCTGTTTAATGGAGGAAATGCCAAATAAATGATTCGTAGGAAAAATATTTTGTTAGTGGCTATTCTTTTCCTTGTAGTCTTTGTCGTGACAACCAATTACTTACTTTATTGGTTACCTAGACAAAGTGATGTTACTATTACAATTGAGGAAAATATTTATCTAGAATTAAAAAAATTACCAATTTACTACAAAATCAATGAGGCTGAAATTGATGATGTGGGAACTTTGTTAAAAAAAATTAACATAGTAAATATTACGCACGCTTATAATGGTATAGAAAAATTGTGGAAACTAGCAGATACCTGGCCAAACAAAACACAGATAGTGGATATTCATAGTCCTCAACTAGGAGATATTCTTTCATTATTAAGTCAGGCTAAAATTGTTAAAGCTGATTTAGATCATCGAGGTACACAACTTAAATTGTTGCTTACTTTAGAGGTAATTTAGACATTTAAATTGAGTTTTACAGAAAGTTATGTGATATCTAGATTAATTATTAATTGTACAAGTGTAATACTTAAACTTTCATAAATTTTAATAAGATAGTTAAATGTAAATATATTTTAAACATATTAATTAGAATGTAAACGAGTGCTTAAATTTACTTATTTTTATGAGGTCGATCTTAGTTTTTGAGATTTTCATTTTAATATCAAATATCTACTTTATTAAGTAGAATGAACAAAATTGGTACACATTACAAACGTATCCCAAGAACCTTTTCTTAAGGGAATCCAAGACTAACTTAAATTTGATAGTATGGAGTGATCCACAAAAAATGTTTCTAAAGTAAGTCTTGAAAAAATTCATTGTCAAATTATACAGTTTTCTTTTTAAGTGTGTCTTAATTTAATTCAGAGAGGTGTGTAGTTATCACAGACATGAAGTGCAACTCTGTCTTTGTCTGTCATCCCCTACTTTAGAAACATTTTTTTTGGATCACTCTTTATTATTGTTTCAGGGTGGACAGCAAGTCATTTTTAAGCCAAAATGGTACGAAATAGAAAGAGTTTTGGAAGGACCAGTATATGTTGGAAAAGATCGTTACAATTCAGAAATAATAGGCTTCTATCTTTCTCTTATTTTGAAGAAACCTTTATGCCCCTTAAGTGTAATACGACAAGTGTCTTTACGTCAAGACATTTTACCAGTTGCAACTAGAAGATTGATTGAAACATCTTTTACCAAAAACAACAGAACATGCATTTATGGAAAATGCTTCTTTTGTAGTATTAATGATCCTGTTTGTGATGACGAACATTCGATTTTAGAAGGTGCTGTGATATTAAACATTAAGGCGTCTTTAATAAATCATCGATCTCCTTGGCAGCGTACATATAAAAAAGATAAAAATGCCATTTGGCAAGAATATTCCGATAGTTATTGTGAGTAAGTAGAAAAATATAGTAATTAATATAAAAATATGTATATTTACAATGTTTTTTTTTTTGTATTACTATATACCCATATTATACAATTATTTTTATCTTTAATTCATTCACTGAAATAATAAAATAATTTAAAAATAATCTATTAATAATACTAATAAGGAAACTATACTAGCAAGGAACACATTTAAATAAACATAAGAAAACAGAAGTAATAAGAAAACTTACAATTAAAAAAAATAATAGAAATATTTAGACATAATGGAGACCTTTCCATTAGTCTTCATAGTTCGACATTCATGACCTTTATGTAGAATGTTAAACTAATTTAATACATACTAGTTTATGCATTTTAAAGTTTCTTTTTTTATTAAACAATATGTTAAATGGTTATTATTCGCCTTTCAACATATATGGTGTATGAACTACTATTAGGTACCTATTTGTTTAATTTGAATGTTATTTTTTAGTATAGTAAAATCCAAAATATCAAAAAAACGTTTGTATGATTTAATAGATGTATCTGTATTTGACTTTTTAATTCAAAATGGAGATAGACATCATTATGAAACGTTTGAAGAGACTGTATTATGGTTGGATAACGGAAAAGGATTGGGTAATCCATATAAACATCATTTAGATATATTGGCACCACTTTATCAGTGCTGCATGTAAGTCTGTTTATACATATTTCGTTTTAGTAAGCATTTTACCTTTGCTTAAACATATTTTAGGATGAGAAAGACGATGTATAATAATCTATTACATTTGAGAGGAGGAAGACTTGTAGAACAGTTAAGAAAAATACCAAATATAAATAAGCTTATAACAAGTGAACATTTAAAAGCAGTAGATGAAAGACTTTTAATTATTTTTGCTACCATAGAATATTGTAAAAAAAGCAAGAAAGGAAAAATCTGAAGAATTAATTTCAAACATGAGTAAAGTAGTTACCCTTTTGTCATTGCAAGATGATGGAAATGTCATCGTGATACATTATTGGATGTCTTTCAGAAAGTGAGTTTTGTTATAATACTTGTGTTTTACAATAAATGTTATGTGTATAAGAACCAATTTTCTAAAATAACATTTCATAAGTGTAAACAATAAACCTTATTAAAAAAATCGTAATAATTTTTTTTACGATTTGTTCCTGTCTCCTATGTTTTCAGTGCTGGAGAGGCTTGTCACGAGATTAGTATGCATCTCCACATTCGTTGTATTAAATTTATAAGTCACAGTTGGAGTAAAAGCTTATGGTAAATGTGGCACATGGGGTCAATAAATGCTTTTTGTCCGTAATTGGTTCTGTGTCTTCTGATAAAAAACAATGAAGTATACAGGACCCCCGTAAGGGCTACTGGCGCCTGTGTGCAAAAAAGGATTTTGGTGCCCCTTAAGGCATTTTGGATCATTTTTTTTTTATTTATTTTTTTGAAGGTAGGTAGGTAGGTAGGGGCTTGAAATAAAGCAAAAAACTGAACTTTAGAAGTCATATTTATTTGTAGACTAAAATATCTAGGTAGGTAGGTAGACTAAAATATCAAAATGAAACAAACAGAATAAAATCATAACAAAATAAATTAAAATAAATTCTTGTACATACCCGTTTTAAAGCATTAACTAATGGGGTACAGACACGTTTATAAATACTAGAAAATAATCCAAAACTAAAAATCACATTTTTTTTAGGAACAAATAACAGAAATATTGCCTATTTGTCTACATATACATACAGGGTGTTCTATCTCAGACGAGCCACCACGTATATTTCTTATCCCATGGTAATTCGAAAAATTTCCCGAAACACGTTGGATGATTTTCTTTGGGGGACATGCTGGAACGAGCAACCCTCTATGAGGGGCGCTTCAACCCCTCAAAATTGAATAGTGAGTGATACTTCATTTTGTAAGGTCTTGGAAGCCTCTTTACAACGGTGTATGAAAAAAATCACATTTAAAAAAAAATTGTTTTATCACATGAAATGATCGAAGAAACGTGATAAACACACCTTCTAAGAACAAAAAATGAAGGCAAGATAAAATGTTTTGATTTTTTTTTATTTATTAGTTCGAGAGAATTTATTATTGTATGGAAGTCAATGGAGGACAATTTAAACATTTGATTTAAAAACGCAGTTTTGATTTTTTTGATAAAACAATTTTTTTTAAGAATGTGATTTTTTTCATACACCGTTGTAAATAGGCTTCCAAGACCTTACAAATGAAGTATCACTCAACCCCTCTTCCCTATTCAATTTTGAGGGGTTGAAGCGCCCCATCATAGGGGGTTGCTCGTTAAAGCCTCAAATATACGTCCAAAGATGTTCCCCAAAGAAAATCATCCGACGTGTTTCGGGAAATTTTTCCAATTACTATGGGATAAGAAATATACGGGGTGGCTCGTCTGAGATGGAACACCATGTATACTACTTTCTACTTATGCTAAGATATTTAAAAAAATATACAGATACTTCTGATAACAAATACCTAGGTAACTTCGTTATAAAATCAAAAATGATAGCTAGGTACAATAGAAAAGTAAAAAATAGCTATTTTAGTAGAAATATTTTCCGAGACTTTGCTGTTGCGAATTCATTAATTACATCGCTAAAATTTATACCATCAACATCAAACCTTTCTTGTTCAATTGCTAATATTGCTAGCCCAGACAATCTTTCTTGAAGCATTGTCGATCTTAAATAATTTTTAATGATTTTTAACTTTGAAAAAGATCGCTCGTCAGAAGCTACAGATACAGGCAATGTCAGAAGACTTTTTTTAGTGAAATGCTTACGTTTGGAAGGGTGGTGATTAAATTGTTTTCAAATATATATTGTAAAATACTCAAGGGGTCAGTATCATCAGGTAATGAAAACAACTTTAATGCTTTAATTTCATTAAACAAATCATTGGAGTCTATATCCTTATTATCCTGATCTGTCAGTTAGGCCCGTAGCCAGAAATTTGGTTTGGAGGGGGCCCAAAACGTAGTAATAATTTTTTGGGGAAGGGGGGCGGAAATGGTTGATGGGGGTCTTGTAAGGATATTTGTTATTAAAGTTGGACTCATTAGTGAAAAACTGCTTTATTGTTACTAATATCATCACTGCATTTTAACTGTCAGTCACGCATACATACACATTAATTGTCAAACAAAAGCGTCAATTATAGTAGACAAAATTTAAAATTTTAACTTTCGCGATTTCTTTGCTGCCATAATCTCAAGAACCTCATTCGGATCGATACCTAAGTTTCCATGAATTGACAGTACGGCGAGTGCACTAAGTCTTTCGTTGCCCGTTGAGTTACGTAAGTAAGTCTTGATTCTTTTCATTGTCGAAAATGACCTTTCCACACTTGCTGTTGTGACCGGAAGAGTTGCCAAAACTGTTAATAGATATTTGATTGTTGGAAATCTGCTCTTGTCACAAAAATCCAATACTTGTAAAGCCTCGGCATCTTTCTCGAGTCCCGATAATTTCTCACACCACAACTTATACTCAGCTTTTACAGCGGATTCTGAGACTCGATCATCAAAGTATGGCGAAAGATGATGCAAGTCATCTACTTTGTTAATTGCAGCAAATCCAGGGAGAAGTATCTGTAAGCTTGATAAGATGCCCGCGTTCTCATTAAGAAATTTGTCAGACAAATTCTGAATTAGCGTATCGAGGCAAGGAATAAAAACAGCAGACCGAAAGTACGATTCAACAGAGTCTGTTTGATAATTGGAACGAGTTGTTTGCTTCGACGTGAGTCTCGGAACTTTCAGCTCCATATCGAATGTATCGTTTGCAAGCTTTTCAGCTGCTATAAAAATTTTGCTGAACGATACGTCTGCAGTTGTTCGTTCTTCTTGAAGCATATTCACGATTTCGTGAACATGCTCTACTGCTGATGCCAAATCACGTGATTTTTCTTGCAGTTGAACTGATAAAGGAAGCGTGATGCTGAAAAGTCTGTTACAAACCAAGAGACTGACGAGAAACTCACTTTTCTGAACTGCTGCAAGTAAGCAGGCCGCAGTTTTCGAAATAGCCCAAGATTTTTCTGAAATTTCTTCTAATCCCATGTGGATGATTTGAAACAGTTCTACAAAAGATAGTATGCTGTCATGTCGTTCGATGAATCTTGTTTCGCAAAGACGAATAAGCCTCTTCTTTTTACTCTGCGGAACATGTTCTTGGATGAGATCTTGAAGAATTTTCGTCGCATAAGCGTGGTTTCTGAATAAGTTCACGACATCGTTCACAATCCCAAGGCAATTTCGAACAGGTGGAACTGACATGGCATTTGACAATGCGAGATTCAAACGATGGCTATAACAATGAACGTACATCATCAATGGGTACAGATTCTTCATTCTCGCCTGGACGCCATTGACATGACCAGACATGTTGCGTGCTCCATCGTAAACTTGACCAATGCATTTTTTCATTTCGAGGCTCAACTCTTTACAACGTTTCAGGAGAGCTTCAGTTATTTTTTCAGAAGTCTGGTTGTAAATTGGTACAAATCCTACAAAATCTTCACGAATAATCAGTTTTTGCAAGTCATCGTCGAAGTCGAGGTATCTGAGACATACTGACATTTGTTCAGTTCCTGATATATCCATGGTTTCATCCCCGAGCAAGGTGAAGCATGGTGCATTATCAACTTTCTGAATAATTTTCCTAATGATAATGTCAGAACATATCTGAATAATTTCATTCTGAATATCTGGACTCATGTATTGGGCATTTTTCGGATGATTGAGAACGTGTTTTTCCAAGCTTACATCCCCGGAATCGATTCGAAATCGCAAAAGAGCTCGGAATTTTCCATCATTCAGTTGTGATCTAATCAATGACAAAGGTCCACTATCGTTATCGCCTCTCAAGGGCAATTCTTTCTCAGCACAAAAAAGAATGGTTTTTATTATTGGTATGATAGCTGCTCTATTTTCTTTTTTTTCCTTTGCTTGCTGCTTATCAATTAGAGACATAATATCTGATCGTTTTCCTGAAGATACTTCAAGAAAAGTTTTGGCAAACTCGGCACAAGTCTTGTGATATTCTTTGTTTGCATGCTTTCTAAAATCTTCCCTCGCGTTTTTCCAATTGCTATAGCAGCTGGTGACAAGTTGTCCTGGAATTTCGTGGTTTCCTTTGCCAACTCCTTCATGAAAAAATAGCCAGCATGGTCTGCAGTACACGCCATCTTCTTGTTGAGAATAAGCGAGGAAAGGAAAGTCTTTCATCCAAGTTTCTTGAAAACTCCTGTTGCGCCCATATCTTTTAGTAGTTGGATAGAGAAACCCTTTCGAGATCATCGGTAAAGTTAAAATGAGCTTTTTTGTGTAATCATCCAAGGAGGATCTATCCATATTGCCAATGTCGAGTTTTGGATCAACAGCATTCGTCTTTGGAGAAGCATGAGTAGACGTGTCAGATTGATCGGCAATTTGAGAATGCAGATTTTCGTCTGCAATAAATAAGGAAAATTTTTTAGGCATAAAAAGGAAACAAGTTTTTTGAGGATAACATAAAATCATATAGCATAGAATCTTTTCAAAGAAAGGAAGTGTCAATTTTTTTCAAATTTCGGTTTGGTTATAAAATTAAAATGTCTTCAAATATATCGTTTTTTATCGGTAATTTTCTATAATTATTCGAAAAATATTGCGTTTCTGAAACTAGTCGTGACTAGTGGAAGCGTTTCAACTAATGAAATTTAAATTCCTTTTTCTAACACAGCGATACATAATATTTCATAATATTCTGGCTAAAATAATACAATAAGGCACGACACAATACTTATAATTCAGTTATTTCTTGTGCTTTTCATGTGTTTTTCTGGCTTCACACGTATTTTTTAATTTTTTGAAATTAATTTCAATAATAATAATATTTTGAAATTTGGATAAAGACTCCTAACGTCATAAGCATAAACGCTCATTTTAGGAGTTTTTAAAACGTAATTTTATTCGAATTTGTTATTCTAGTGTCACGACTATTTTCTGAGTAAGCAAAATTTTTCGCCATGTTTTTTTGCACCTAGATAACATTAATTAGCTATTTTTGTAGTCGTTCATATTTTTGTATATTTTTTAAAAATATTTAAAAACATTATTTAAGACTATTTTAAGAATATTTCTTGTATCATTGACCTTACAGGATACTACTTGGACATGAAGTTATTCTGGGGATATTTTTATAAATATTCCTATGAGACATCCCAGGGATAATAAATGTCCATAAGATAATACAAATCATTCATCAATCTATACTTTATGTTACTTACCAGAAACTTTTGACGTAGAAGTTGCGCCAGATATCAGTTCATTTGAAATGTTTCGTTGTAAATCATTGTCATCTGTAATATTTCAATTGAAATTATGATTTTGAATATGATAGCAGAGTTTAATGACATTTTTCAGTATTAAAAATGGTTTCAGAATTCGCGTTAATGTAGGTATACATTAGTTATCATTTAATTGTTACTGTAACGATTTTGTTACTTACTAGAAACTCGAGTAGTTGTAGGAGTTTCATCAGATATTGGTTCATCCAATACGTTACGATGTGAATCATCGTCATCTGTAATATTTAAATGACAATTACAATTGTGTATATTACTGTCGAGAAAACAGTGTCACTGATGCGACAATGAGGAGAAACTTAAACAAAAAGTTTCTAGTTTTTCTAAGAGTTATTTTAATCTATTTGAATTAATATGAATTTTGCGAAAAACTATACATTAGAAAAATGTTCGTCAAGTAGAGAAAACGACTAGTTTTATGAAGCTGTACACATATTCGCTTGTAACACTTAAAAAACTACGAAAAAAATCAGTGTTGACGTTTGAGGTTATGTGAACACTTTCATGTCTATGGCTATTCGTAAGGTCAAAATGCACATTACTTACCTTTCAATTCATTATTTTTTGATTTCTTGAGAAACCAAACAATACTTGTTTGGCCTTGTGCACGTTTCATTTCAATTTCGATTCTTCGTAAACAATATTTAACTTACGCCAGTAACAGTTGCTTATCGAAACTGCAACTGAGTCGTCTGAGTGTGAGTTCTGATTCGGATCGATATATCTCGAATTGGATCACGAAAAATTGCGCGGGAAATTTCAAACACCAGTAAACTGTGTGAAAACCAACACTTGTCTAGTAAAAGCGTATTTTATGTTTCACACGCAATTTTTGATGATCGGATTCGAGATAATCGATCCAGATCAAAAAGTAATCTTCTGTTCAAATGTTCTAATAGAGATATTATATATGTCTCACAGGCGTGAAGTTGTCATAAAAAATATGGCTTGTTATCGATAGACATATTTTTAAAACATGATTCACATTTTTAGGAAAATTTTAGGGTTCACGGAATTTCGGGGGGGGGGGCCCGGGCCCGTCGGGCCCTACGGCTGGCTACGGGCCTGCTGTCAGTCGTTCTTCAAGAACAGAAAAACGTTTTAAAAGATCGCTGTCACTTAATTTGAATATGTCGCTAAAAAATCCGAAAACATTATCATACTCATTTAATAAGTCAAATCGGTTTTTTAGAGAACTTAAAGTTTGATTTTGAATTTTTAAGAAAAAACTAATTTTAAAGACGGTTTTTGGATCATGAGGGGTCTCATCTCGGTGTTCATAGTCAAACAATTTTGATTGGCATACTTTAATATTAATTGTAGCACTTATTAGCATTTGTTTGCTGTTGCTGACAATATTTATATGAAATAAAACGTCATGCCAAATAATAATTCCACAAATAACTTGAAAATTTTGTACAGACGTTAAGAGTGAACTCGCTTTATGTCTTGCATCAATGTGAAAGGAATTATCTTCAGCTACTTCTAGAAGACTTTCGCAAACCTTAATTAAATAAAGTTTAAGGGGCTTTATTGCATCAATTCTGCTGGACCATCTTGTCTCATATTACTCTTGTACAGGATTAAAAAAGTTTATTGTAGCATCTGGCACCTTAGAAGCGTCATTTACTGTTAAGTTCAAAGTATATATGAGCCGCACAAGGTACAAAAAGGGCTCTCGGATTCGCGTCAAGAATGCGTTTTTGAAGAATAACATGCTTTCCCATCATGTTTGCCCCATTATCATAATCTTGTCCCCTAATATTTTTTATATCTAAATTTAATTTTTTCAAAATTTCTGTCACAAATGTGTAGGTATATCTCTTCCCCTGTAGAGTCCAGTATTGGATTAAACCTTCGAGCATATATATTTCATAGAGTCCGCATTCAATCAATAGGATTTGTTTACGTTATGAGGGGAAATGCCTAGACGCTATTTCTAGTGTCGCATCATTTTTACGGGATTTATGCATCGTTACTCGATCTTTTCACGAGTAGGTACTCTCTAAAATCTGCAAAAGTACTCAATTGCTTTGTGTATTATTCATTTAAGGTAAAGTTATGTTAAATTTCCCTTTGTCATATTTTAAAAATGATACACATCCGACAATGTACTTTTGAGACCGACCCTGTCTTTTTATCTCTAGTGAAATAATCGATAATTTCATTTATGTCTATCGCATGCGTGTTTTACGCTCTAGCGAGTCTGGTGGGAGTAAACGCTCATATTGAAGTATCGAGGGAATATTGTCCTGCGCTGTACGAGGAATATCGAAGTGTGCCGAGTAGTTTTTCTATGGTGCCGAGTACTCAACAATATTAGACTGTGTGATTCGGAGAAAGTTCCCTTCCCCATGCCCTTCCCATTGGAACTTTCCAAGTAAAGACGCGTAAAATATTTTATGTGATCAATTTCGTAGGCCAAAGATTAGTATAATTGTTTATTTACAACCATATATGTAATGTTGTCATTACTAACGTCATTGAAGGTTGAGAAGTGTCACAGTACACACCTCTACTTCCCGCCCTCATTTCATCTATTCTAGATGAATATTTTTTATTTTAAAAAAAAAAATAACACAGTGTTTGACAAATTTTATAATACCTATTTAATGGCAAACAATAAAAAACAACAATGATCTAAAATATAACAAACTACTTATTGATATTTATTATTCGCGAATTTATATCCGGTTTTATCTGACATTTATTTATATTGGTGACAGTTGTTTGCCCCGTAATCACAGTAACAATATATTTACCTACTTGATTATTCTGAGAAAACCGCGCGCTTGGTAATTTGTCGTTAAATGTAATATTTTAGGTATGTTCAGAACAAAACGGAGATTTATTAACTTTGATCGAAATATGATGGTTGTAAATAAAATACTATACAAACCTCGGTAGGAAGTTTCATTCCTGTCTCGAGAGCATAGCTAACCTCGACGCTTCGCGTCTCGGTGATCTAACTAATCTCACGACAGGAATGAAACTCTTCCCACCTCGGTGTGTAATATACTATTACCATTCTAAATTGCATCGTAAATTATTATGTAGGTTTCGCATCTCGCTTTGTAAGTTATTACGTAGGTTCAATAATTTCATTTCTTTAGGTATCAATATATTTTTCATCTTCCATTGCCATATATTCCATCTTTTGAGAATGTTGCCGAAATACTATTGTGAATCTAAATTAATTACTGTAATATTAGTTTATTTGTTTTAATAGTACTTAAATATTTTTGATATTCCTTGTAATTTAATTTAAAAGATGGTATTACGAGTGATCGACACCGTGTTTTTATTTCTTAAAAATAAAGTAGACCAGGAGAGCTTAAAGGAGATTACGGCAGCCTACAGCAGATCGAGGGGTGCCGTGAAAGACATTACCAGGCCAACTTAAAGAAGAAGAGACTTAGAGTAGGCAACTTCACCAGAATACCTAAGAGTGGTTAACCCATACAGATTGTCCCACATACGAAGGTGCTGTTTCTAGTCCTGACCAGGATTCTCATAAGTTTAGTCAGGTGCACTTTCCGGCCTCAACTATCCTAACAGGACTAGACTCAGGAGACCAGAAGCTACAGTCACAAGGGGATCAGACCAACTCCAATAGACTAGAAGCTGGCCTCCGAGATCACAAGACCACACAGGATTAGTTGGGCTATTAACAAATTTAAGGCATACAAATCCCCGGGGCCGGATGGAATATATCCAATTCTACTCCAGAAGGGTAAAGCTGTGTTAATGCCACATTTATGCAAAATCTTCAGAGCATGTATTGCCTGGAGGTATCCTTGCCAAAGTAGGTAGGGTCACAGACCAAATGCCAAAGTCATATCGCCCCATAAGCCTATCCTCCTTCCTACTTAAAAATCTAGAAAGACTGATAGATAGGTATATCAGGGACGAGATACTCAAAATAAATCCACTCCATTCCAACCATAATATGCATACCAGCCAGGAAAGTCAACTGACCTAGTGCTGGACGATCTAAACAGGCTGCTTTTAAAGTCAATAGATGACAAAGAAATCGCAATAGCCACTTTCTTAGAAATCGAAGGAGCTTTCAACAATGCCTCAACCAGGTCAATAACCAAGGCTCTAGAAGAGAGAAACGTCCCAGTTACAATATGCCAATGCCTGTCTAGAGAACAGAATTATTTTATCCACTCTAGGAAAGGCAACCATACAGGCAAAAGGTACACGGGACTGCCCACAAGGAGGAATATTATCTCCAATGCTGTGGTCAGTTCTTGTGGATGTCCAAAGAAGGCTACCAGTACCTAGGATACGCAGATGACCTAGCAATTATCGTCAGGAGGCGATTTGCAGGCACAGACCCGGAGCGATCTCAAACAGCTCTAAACATAGTGAACAATTGTCCATTAACGCACAAAAAACAACAGTTGTACCATTCACCAAAAAAACGGGTACTTACAGGACTAAGGCCACTATAGTACTAAACATCATAGTTATCCCATTCGTCACAGAAGCCAAATACCTCGGACCAAAGGCTGACGTGGAATGAACATCTCAAAAAACTCACATACAAAGCTACAATAGCTCTCGTAAGCTGTAGAAGAATATGTGGGAAAAACTGGGGTCTAAACCCCAAAATGACCATATGGTTATACACAAGGGTAATAATACCCATGATACCTATTACGCGTTGCGTGGGTAAACAAAACTGCGAAGGAAAGTGCAATAGAATTAAGGGGCTTGCCTGACTAAGTGCTACTGGGGCCATGCACACTAGGCCGACTGCAGCAATGAAGGTATTATTAAATCTGACGCCACTGCACAACTTCATACAAGGAGAAACCAGGTCAGCTATTCACAGGCTAATGCAGGGACAAAACCCAATAAGCCAACTACTTAGCGCTATATCAGCAAGTAAAAAGGGATAATATTCTAGCTATGACTACTGATAGAGCCATAAACTCATACAAATTTGAAAGAAATTTTCAAATTCAAATACCAGCCCGAGAACCCTGGAAACAGGAACCTCCCGTACAGGCTGAACTTGTCTGGTACACAGACGGTTCAAAAACTAAGGCAGGAGCCGGTTCTGGAATCTATGGACCCAAGACGAAAACAACAATTTCGCTGAGTTTAGGAAAATATGCAACAGTGTTCCAGGCTGAGCTAATATCCATACAACACTGTGCAAGAGAAATATGAAATCAGCAAGTATCAGGCAAAACTATTGCCATATACTCTGATAGCCAAGCAGCTCTTAAGGCAATTCTCTCACCAGAAATCAAATCACGACTGGTGAAAGACTGCCTAGAAGACCTGGCGGAGCTAAGTAGTCAAAATAAGGTGACCGTGAGGGATATCAGGGCAACGAAAAGGCCGACGAATTAGTCCGAGAAGGCTCAGATAGGGCCATGACAGGCCCCGAACCCTTCTGTGGAGTTGCTAAGACATTGTGCAAGGCATCCATTAAACAATGGATGCAAAAAGAGTCTCAGGAATGGTAAAACAAATATCCAAGACTGAGACAGGCCAAACAGTTCATCAAGGAACCATCGGCCAAGTTCACGATAGATTGGATCAAAAGCGTCAAATCGTTAGGATAACAGTAAGCCTTCTTACTGGACACGGTCGCCTCAAAAGACACATGAGTGTCATCAATCCAGCAGAAGAAGCAACTTTGTGCAGGTTCTGTGAAGAAGAAGAGGGAACATTATTCCACGTCCTGTGCCAATGTGAAGGCCTGGCTGGAATGAGGTTTCTAACATTGGACGAAGAAAAGCCAAATGCATGCAACTATATGCTGGAGCCACTGTCAAAGCTAATAAGTTTAATAAAAAAGACCAGGATAGACGACATACTCTAAAACAAACGGAGTCTCACAATAGATCTGAAAAGGTTGCGGTGGACAAGGACAAAATACGTCCAACTCCTAATCTAATCTAGTCCTGGAAAATTGCAGAGCAAAAGTAGAGGAAGAGTCATCCCCATCGAAGTGCTCGAGTCTCAACTGGCTACCACGAAAAAAGACAAGTGTCATCCGACATCTACCATTTTTACCGAGAACATTTAAAAAAAACTGTCAGTTACCTACTAAATTATCTTGTCATTAAATTTTACTTTTTACTCGTACTACAACTGTTCATTCATGAGTCAAGTTTACTGCACAATTCGTGTTTATCAACCAGCCAAATACGTCCAAAATCATTAATTTAATTTTCTTTTTAATTGTTTTAACTAAAGATAGTGCCATTAACCTGTTGGTTAAATTCTAGCCGAATCTCATCGACTCATAAAATTAATTTACATCAGTATCTGAGGTAGACCGGGATGGTTGTAAAATCCCTTGGTACAAAACGCCTAACAGATTTGCGCCTAACAGGTAGGTATTCATATACACATATATTTATTATATATTTATGAGTACTCACTGTAGGGTTGCCATCTTTTTAAAAAGTGAATAAAGGACTACGATGCTGACAGGAGCTCTGGTATACAGAAAGTCCTCATCCTTCTACTGAACTTCTAAAAAAAGTCCTCAGCTTATATATTTTTTTACAAACCATGTCCCTTCCGAAGATATGTGCTCTTTAAAAAAAAAGGACATTTTATGCTTTAAAAAGTCACAAGAATATTTTTCTTCAAAAAAGGACTGTCGTTTTCAAAAAAGGACAGGTGGCAACCCTAACTCATTGTGAAGTACGTATGAGTACTTTAACGCAGTACTTTGCCCAGCTCTGGACATAAATATAAGTAAACATGAACTTCTTTAAATATCACGAATGGTAAGAGAATAAAACAAAAATCCTTATTTAGACATTTAATTCAACAATTATTATATCTATAGCTTATAAAAAATATTTAATCGTCAAGTAATATAGAAAACAAAACGGGTACTTTATTTTCATACATATGTAACAGATATAAATTGTATTTTATATTTTTAAAGTGTGTGAACTCAGTGTTTTATCTCAATTTTTACAAGCTGTTTCATTTGTTTATTAAATGCATTTCAGATAAATAGGTACGTTGGGAAAAACTGGTACAACAAAACTCTAGTTTAATTGAAAATTGAAGAATTAGATTTATATATGTTCAAAATTATCGTACCATTTAAAGAACTTTTGGTGTATATAATCCAACCATTATTTCTTCATAAAAATAATTCTTGTTTCATCAGAGAATATAATTCTTCTCCAGTCATCGATGGTTCAGTTTAGGTATCCCGCCTAGTGTAATGAATAGTGTGATAATTTTGAACAGCAACTCTTGTTACGTAATTATCGAACACGTCTATTATATACTCGCCTCGTTCGCTTCTCTAGATCGGCTCATAATCTCAGACTGGTTCGATAAAGAATCACTTTGCTGACTTGGTACATAAATAACTATTATACGAGTAATGGCAGAGGGGGAGCTTTTTGATGTGTTTAATTTTTAGAATAATTACTATATTTTTTATATTTAATAGAAAAATATACATAATAACAAACAGCAATAGTATGGCGTTCATTGGTGTTCAATTAGGTAATGCTTGAGTATAGCCTTCGTTTTTAAATTTCTGTAGGTACCTGCATTTTAATTTTCATTTAATTTCCCAGATTTGATACTAACCTCTTCTTGCTTGGACGAAAATTATTACGTAATCCAAAGAGTAACCCAATAATTTTATTAGTAATTTTCACTGTACCTACCTCTTGATATATTATCGTTAAAATCCACAACCAACAAAGTCTCGTTTGTTTGTTATGTGATATTATGTAGTGGTGGTGCATTGAATTACCAATGGGCCTATTTTCATTTGTAAAAATTGAGATGAACGATAAAATTAACGACATGTTTTGTGCGGTAACAAAGAATAAGAACAATAAAATTTTAAAATCTTAACATTAATAAATCCTACCTATATATCGATAAATGATTGCATTAAGCTCAATCACGATTCTACCCTTAGGCCAAGAGAAATTTTATAATTCACAGGAGGCAAAGAATTAGGTAGAAAGACTTTCGTTAAAATTATTATTTTTAAAGGTTTGAATCATTTTATGCCAGAGAAAGCGGAAATCAATTTAATGATTCATAATAATTTCGTTGTTTTATTAAAATTATGTAGAATTAATTATTTTGGGCACAAGGTTTTCGTGAGTTTTAAAATACACTTACGTGCATAGAACTCGGCCCACTGTAAACTTTTGATTTTAACTATATATTTTTTTGAAACTATTCATCTGATCAAAAATTGCTGTTTGAAAGACAATTTAATATGCTTTGATACGAATTTAAATTTATTAAAATTTAATGTGCCTTTTAGGCCTAAAATTGTAAAATTAAAGTATGATACAAATTAACTTGTTTTATCTAAATTAACACTATTTTAATAATGTGTATGACTCCCTCTTGCCCTAATAATATCTCTCATACGATATTGATTCTTGGGGGATGTTAAACCACTAATCTTTTACTGCAACAATAAGCTCTGGCGGGTTCTCAAGAGTCGATTTTAGTTGAACAATTTTTATTGATCAACTAAAATTGAATCAAGTTTTTGTTCACATGTTTCAACGAATGGTAAACCGATAATGGCGACCAGCGAGGTTTTTCGTGTGGGTGTTCGTGTCATTTGTAAATTAATAAATACAGAAGTGAGAAATATTTTATCAGAATATGTAAGAAGAAACAAGCAGAACGTGTTATTTTGGTTCGAAAATGGATTTTGAAAAGGCATACATTATAAGGTGTTTCAGAAAGATGTTGAAGGATGCAGGGATTAAGATTGCCAGAGAAAAAATTTGAAGAACTCCCTTCTAAAGTTCAGTTGAAAATTGCTAAAAAATGATACAACTATGCGCCAAGCCCTCCCCTGCTGCTCTATAAAATTACACAAATAATATTGAGTTATCTAGCAACATGAGATTCATTCAGTGGGTACTTTAGCTTTTATGAATATGTATCGAGTACCAAAAACACTATTTGAAATTTGGAATTACTCATAAAAATCGTAAAGATAAAGTTGAAATGGGTCCAACTTTTGTTGAAGCGATTTTTGTCATACAACAAAAATTGAAATATAGGTTCATATAAGGGTTTTCATTCGATTTTATTTTGATCAATATAAATCGTTCAATTAAAATCGATTTAATGTAATCTTGCACGATTTTTGCAATGTGCGCCCTCGCATTGTCATTCATAAAAATAAATTCGTTTACAATGTAGTTGATGTAAGGTAACACATGAACTGTCAAAATCTCTTCGATGTACCTTGCACCCCTTAACCGTCTCTCTCGTAACCACGGTCTTCTCTACTGATGAAAACAGGGTCGGTTTGTACTACCATAGAAATTTCACCACAAATCATGCACTCCCATAAGCACTTTGCTCTTTAATGCAGCATTATTCAAATCACTCTATTGGTGCTCGATACACTTAGATACCTTAGAGGCATATTCTAGTTGTATCTGAGAGCGAGAACAGACTTCCATTGTTCCAATGTCAAATTCAGATGATCCCGTGCAAAAAGCAGACGTCTAATCGCAGGTGCTTTTGGGGTCAGTTTACTTTCATGCAGTTTTCATCATACTGTCAACGTCAACTTACTTATATAGCCACTCCTCATATTTCACGGATCTATTATTGCCCTTAATCCTCATTTAGACGACGATTTTCACAATGATGTCGACACAATAAAGCGGTCATCGTGATCCGTTATATATCGCTTTCTGCCTGTTGGCATACTCTTCAATTGCAAAAGCAATAATTTTAATATGTCATATAAGTTTGTTATTCCTGTTATATCTACCATATAAATACGTTTCATTTTTTACATACCGTTTATATAACAGTTACATAACGTTTATGTAACGGTTACATAACGTTTACACAACGTTTACATAAGATTTACATACCGTTTACATAACGATAAGCACTCGTGATAAATTTATATCAAAGTTTATTAAATTGTGTTTCAAACGGCATTTTTTTTATCGGATTAATAGTTTCTAATAAAAGTTTAATAGGTATAAGAGAACAGTATTTTTCGTTAAACAGAACCTTGAGTGTAAAACAAATACATATTTTTTTTGGTATAAAATGATCCAGTTTAGTAATGAGACACTTACGAAAAATTAGCAAACGTTGCATTGTGGTGATAAATTTATTATTTTAAGATATGTAGGTTATCAGACTTCATTTTACAAAGTAAGTCTTTTAATATTTGAATATGGTATTTAAGATTAATGAAAAATATCTGTTAATCACTGAATTTTGATGTACTTATAATTATGTACTTAACTATCTCAAATTGAAAAAAGACAAGAAATATAAAATATTATTTTAATAACTATTTCAATTTGTCAAAATAGATTCGGTACCTAATTTAATAAAAGGTAAGCTAATTATTAATAACAGTAGGTAGTCGTACATTTTTAGTACCTTTAGTTTAGTCTTACACATTTTAAAACTTCCAAAAAACTTGGAATAAGTTCAATAATTATAAAACAGCAACAAGTATTAAAAATTCAATTGTGACATGAAATATACTGCAGATACTAAAAAAATAATCTAATAATCAGAGCTGGGTAATAACATGAATTAATTTCAAGTACAAAGTACATGTTATAAAAATAGGAATTATACTGATTTAATTACTATTATATGAAAAAAGGAATTGTCAATTACTTTCATAATTACTTTTCTAATTACTTTGCGAATATAACAACAAAACATTATGTTAGAATTGAGGAACCATGAACCATGGACCAGTTCGAACAACATTTTTATATATTTAATTCAAAGTGTTCAACTAACAGCCATTTGCAGCTACTTTCGTGTGGATTCCAAAGTTAAAGATATCTTAAAGGCGGGTTGTATAGAGCTTACTCGTTAAACTCGGTTTGAGGTGACACATGACAAATATTGTATGGCATAAATACAGTCTAAACACAATTTAGCACTATGAAATGTACCTATACCATTGAAAATTGTATTACCTAAAACTGAGCTCAACTTTAAGTAAGCTTTATACAACCAGCCCTAATTGTTTTCTATACCATTTAAGGGAAAACACATCATCCATAACAAGTGATAAGTATAAAAAATGAAACAGGGAAATTAATAATAAAATGTGAGCTCTTAAGAGTTTATTTTTCGGAACAAAAATACAAAAGATCGTGTACTTTTAAGTACTTTTATATTACAATCATACCATACAAATCGAGCATCATTAGTCTGGAGTCGTTTAACCCCATAAAAACTGCTGCATGCATCACTTCATACTATATTTCCTTAATTTATAGTGTGTATGTAATATAAATTATGTTTATAATAATATACAAACAAAATACGTCTTAAAAATAAGGGTATCTTCTTGCTTCTTACTGTTATTATTTTGTGTTCAACAATTTCACTACTTCACTGAGGCTCTTGCCACGGAACAGCGCTTTCGTCAAATGCATCCAAACAAATGAAATGGATGCGACTCCGAGATCTAATGACTGGTTCAAATAGGAAATTTCTTGTTTTTATACCACTTTAAAAATGTAATTGTACCTATACATGTAATTATAATTAAATAAAGTAATTGTAATTGGAAAAGTAATTATAATTATTAGAAGTAATTGTATTTAGACAAATTAAATAGTATAATTACAAAATACAATTTCTCCACAGATTTTGTCGCAATTACAATTCCAAATTACTTTTAAAAATGTACTTAAATACAATTACAAATTACATTAAAAAAGTAATTGTAATTATTAATTACTTTTTAACTAGGAATTACCCAGCTCTGCTAATAATCAATGCTACTGCACTTAGGTTTCAAAATATTATGGTTGACGTTTGGCTTTCATATGTATCAATCTTATTAAATTTCATTTAAACCATATAGATATGGATAGTGTAAACTCCTGGCAAATCGTATTTTAGAGTATGTTACACACCCTGTAGAGATGATATTTTTTTGTAAATGTCCCAAGTTATAATAAATTTAGTTTTAATATATTTATATAAATATTTTTATAAGATCTTAATTATATTATAGGTATAGGTATATTGATATGCGAAGCAGACGAATTGATTGAGAAACATCTCGAATAGAGCAACTCTATAAAATTATTAGTCTTGAATTTGGTGTCACACGTATAAATAACCCTATTTTTTATAATAAATTTATTTTTGAATCGATAGTTTAGAGTAATATTTCATTATATTATATAAAGATTTACTTGATTGTTTTATTAAGATCCTAGATATTTAGTGTAGTTTCTTCTTGCTTCAATTGAAATATACAATTCACAAAACAATATATCTGCATACCAACGTCGAGAGAAACTGATTATAATTCCATGCAAAAAATTTAAAATCCTAATTATAGAATTAACTAAATTAATATATTATTTTAATATGGTTAATATGGAGTGATCCGCCAATAATGTTTCTAAAGCAGGCCATGGGAAAATCACGCATGTCGGAACAAGCATGTTTTAAATGGTTTTGGATTTAATTCAGAAGCGTGCGTAGTTATCTCGGACATGGTCTACTTTAGAAACATTTTCTTGTGAATCATTCGTTATAATATTAATAATAATATGTAGGACGTGTATAGTGTAGTTTTAAGATGGAATACTCATGTAAATTACTTACATATCAAAGAGTTTTTAAGAATAGACCCTTAGGAAAATAAATGTAACAAGTAGGTAACTTAAAAATATAATTCAAAGTTTCACAATCGCCTCTTTGACTCTCTCTCTTGCAAATTGCATGGTAACCAAAATTGATCTCGCTCTATCTTTTACAAGCAGTAATCGCCGGCAGTAAAATCTTATCTTGACACTAGGAATATTACCTTTGAGTTGATGTATACTCTAACTCGGACATTTTTAATTCAAAAGCGAATTTTCGAATAATTAATTTGTTTTATTTTTGTACTCATAACTTTAAGACGTTGATCGAACTGTAGAATTTATAATATTTAGGTAGGCACTGTTACATTTTCAATATCAATTGTTTTGTTCTCTTAGTGTCATTTATGTAACTACAATTTGACTATAATTTCTTTTTTTAGTTTTAAGGATATGTTCGTGATTATTCCTAAAAGTCTCAACTATTTAACAAATACAATATTAGTGTGGCATCACAATAGCTTGGATGACTTACTTACCACGTGTTTACCCATGTGTTTATAAATCAGCGGGTTTTGGGTTGATAAAATCTAATTAAAAATTTTGTTGTGTGCCTTAAGATTTTTATTTTATAAAATTTTTATTCATCCGCCCAAACTACCCTTACGTCAAAATTTCCAGTGACACCCTGTATATACATATTATAAAGGTTATGAATGAGCCCACTTTTTTACCAATTAGGTAGGTTACTTTTGAAATTTTTTAATTTATAATTTTGATAAAATATTATTTATTTATTTTGAAAAGTCAAGCTAGCTATAGATGAAAAGTATGTGGAATTATGTCCTCTTACCCTAAAAATTCAAAATTCCAACTTAAATTTACCAGAAATAAAGCCATCCGAAGTTTTCGCCTTAATATCTTTCTTTTATATACTTTTCTACAATTTTACATTCATTTCAATAGTTCTGATCCGTACAGCACTTCTATCAGTTTGGTATACTATTTTCTTTGTTTTTCCCTTCATTACATTTGATATTAATAACTGTAGTAGCGCCCCAGCACTTCTGTTTCTTTTGGCTAGTCTTTTCCTAATTTCTTCAGTTTCTTCATTTCTGTTCACATTCTTTGTACTAAGGATACACTTTTTCGTTTAACTGACTTTGTCAAGCTAGGCCATTATCAGTTTGTTCGTTCCATATTAAATAGGGAAAAGTTTCATATTTTAATTCATAACAGTTCTACATTTTCCGGCAGCTTCTGGAAGTTTCTAAAAAAATCTGAAAAAGCTCATTTTCATTTTTTAAGTCTAGCCAAGACCACATTTAACATATTTTTTTTTAAATACTAAGTGGCAGACAAGAAAAATTGAGAATTGCAAAGTTGCTCTACTACCAAAAGTTTGAATGGCTATATTACGTATAAGTTAAAAAATTTGAAACCAATAACATCCAGTGTTGGACAAAATATGGTTGTTGAAAGTAAAAGTAAAATTAATTATGTTCTGTTTTTTTATTTAATTTTCTTATACCTTTTTCAAATAATGATTGTTTTTTCGTTTCTTTAAAAGATGTTTATAGTAGGCTCTTTTGGATTGAGAATAAAGATTAGTGGTTAAAATTGTACTGTCTTAAAGTAAGTTTATTCTTTGCAGAATCACACCACACCATAAAATATTATTTCAATTTCGCAAGTGAACTGTATTTAAATATATTTATTTATATTTTTTTAATCAAATAATTAAATATTTCTCTAAACTCATCTATCAAAAACTGTTTAACTTGTGTTACTTGTTCAACATTAAAGATTGGCAACAACTTTATCTCAGAAACGGGAGAATAAACATTATGTTACATTAAATTTATGTGGATGCTGTTGATGTAGACTCTTCTTCCTGGTTATGTTTTGCAATAGCCAAAAGTATCATCGTGAGCTCCTTCTTATTTACCTTTCCGTCTTGACTGTAGTCAACACCTCGTAAAATAGTTTCTTCAAATTCTTGAAGATCTTGAGCATCATAGTCCTATGAAAGAAAATGAAATAAATATTTAAACTTGTGGAAAGTATAGAAAAGTGTTAAAAACTATATTTTAGCCTAATTTACAAAGCATCTTAAATGTTTTCACATGTAGTTAAATCCATTATAATGAATGTTCAACTGCTAAAATGTTCAACAATAATTCACGAACTGCTAAATATTTATTTTAATCTAAGTAAAATTACATTCTTTACATGATTTTCTACCGATTTCTTAAATCTTTTCCACAAAAATATCAACGAATATTGAATTCATTAATCCGGCACGCGTGTGGTTAAAAATCATGAAGGGCTAGATGTGGCGGGATGAAAATTACCCAATATTTTGTTTACATTTTGGATGAATAAAATTTGATATTAGAAAAAACTACATAAACAAAAACAAATAAATTTGAGATAAAAAAATTAAAAAATTATTAGACTTTATTAAAGCAAATTTGTCAAACGCTAATAAAAAATACTAGCACAACACTGATTATAATGGCCTTTATTTATACAACTAAAAAAATAGGTAACATAATGAGAAAACAGAACCTGTTATATAGAAAGCAAAAATATTTTAAGAGGTTCTTTAGAGCAATCACATGGGTGGTATTAATAAAACCTGAGTCTGAGCAAGTGCTCGGAGTATGAGGGCAGAGTCTGAGCTTTTATTCGTGTTGGTATAAATAAACACAAGCTGAGCATTTGCTATACTTTCGAGCTTAAACTCAATTATCGTGAGCATATGCTCAAGCATATGCACCGTACGGCGTGGCGCCGGTGTGTTTTGGCTACAGCTAAAAAACATGTCTTAACCTGCAAGATGTAACCACTACAAATTATGAATTAGGAATATTACAGGTCAGTGGTTTCTTAGCGGTCTTTGACTTGTGTGATTCTGTGATTTTAAAATGAAAACTAACAACGACGATATATCTGATGTGGCATTTGTTCAGTTACTGAAAAAACATAAACATATATTAAATAAATCTCAAGTGCCAGCTGCGAAGCAAAAAAAGGAAAGTTCCTTAAGTCAACTGAAAAATGAATTGCAGCAAAACTATGGAGTAGCTATGACAGAGGGCCAAATAATGAAAAAATTGAATAAGATGAAAACCCGTTTGAAGTAAAAGATTGATTTGAAGCAGACTGGAAACGTACCCATCATACTAAGCGAATGGCAGAAGCTTTTCAATGAAATACTTGAAGGATATTCTAATCCAAGCATCAAACGATTAGACGGTAAGTTGAGTTACGTACCAACAAATATTAATTATTTTAATTTAATACGAAATCAACAATGCAATAAAATAAAAAACAGTAATATAATTAAACTTAATGTATAATATTTTTTTATTGCAGAAGCTGTTTCACTTGGAGTCGCCTCTTCAATACAGATAGATGAATCACTACAGTCAGGACTTGAGCTAGCCCTCGATAAACCTGGTAGGTACTAGTTCCAGCCAAAATCCGCCACCTAAACGTCCAAAATTCCTAGTTAAATCTAGTACTGACAGTCTCGGAGAACTGGAAACAGCCGAGACAAGAAAACTAACCACTCCACAACTACAACGTCTTGTTTTGTTAGAGCAGCTTCAGGTACTGAGATTGAAGAAAGAAAAGTTGCTTAAAGACCAAGGGAAAGTAGAAGAAAAAATTACCACACATGTAGATGATGATGGTACTGTATTTCGGGTACTTTAAAGTTTTGAAATTTTCTGTTTTGTTTAGTCAAATACATTAAATATATTTTGTTACTCCTATGTCCAATGGTAATACTAAGTAGGTACTTTGTTTTGGTAATATATATTTATGTATGTTATTCACATTAATTTATTATTGATTCATCTCATATATAATATTAGCAATATCAATTCTCCTTATATTTCCTCTACCTCTAACTCTAATATTTTCATCTTCAATCTGCGCGCCATCAACATTTTCTTCACGATTTTATTCTGCTGGGAAATCGCCATCTTTCAAGTGATTAGCAACGTTATGTAATATTAAACAACACGCTATGATCTGAGGTACTTTTTTAGTCGCAAGTCTAATTTTGTGCTGCAAAATGGGGAATCTCTGTTTTACTTGTCCAAAACAACGCTCGATGGACCCTTTCTCTGGTAAGCAGGTTGTTGAATGCGTGTTGCTCTGGATTATCAGGTGTTCTGAAAGGTGTCATTAGCCAGGGAGCAATACCAAATCCTGAATCGCCTAGGAGAAGAGCACGAACTTGATTTCTGCTGATAACTGGTTGGATTTCAGAATTGGTCCAAATACGGGCATCATGAACGGAGCCCGGCCAAGAGACATCCACGCTTGTAAACATTTCAGATCTGTTGCAAATTGCAAGTACATTGAGGCTGGGTAATCCTTTTCGGTTGATATACTTTTCCATGGGCAGCAGGCTTTAAAATGGGGATATGAGTGCAATCTATTACTCCTATTGCACAAGGAAAATTGTATACCTGTTGCCAGGCAGCCTTTTCTCGTCAGTAGAAGGGAAATGGATCCAATAATCAGATTTTTGCATTATTCTTGGAATAACTTCTGCTATGACATTTGAGACAGTGCAGTGGCGTGAGAGCTCCTTCTCTTCTTTCCTTTGAATGACCCAGGAAGTGTTCACTTATCCATTCAACATTTTCCCTTTCAAAACGATATAACACTTTCCAGTCTCGATCGTCTACGTCTCTACGAACTGAATATACTTTACGACTGCGTAAATTATTTATAAACTCGGCCATAATGCCACTCTTTTTAAGTTGAGTTTGCCACTCACCAGACTCAAATGAAATGGAACAGATGCTCCAGTCTTCAAGCAAATACTTTTTTTATTAATACCACCTGGAGCAAATCCTCACAAACTAGAATCAACCGAGTTTGAGCAAAAGTTTAAATTTATTTATTAATACGATTTGGAGCAAATACTCCAAATGCTTTGAGTCTGAGCTTATGCTTCATTTTATTAATATCACTCAATATTCCAAGCAACAAAATATTTTCAACATTTGTGATCTTTACACAGGGCATTTACCAAATCTGCCAATGTTGTTTTTTTCCGCTTGATTCAACTTGGTTGTCACGGTAATTCTCATAGCAGCAAAATAAATCATCAGAAACAATATCATGGAAGGAACATGCTCATTTTTACAGATAGCAGGACTAACCTGGACAGACCATGAATTTACTCAGAATTAGTACTATAATTTCAAGAAGCTTTGGTACAAGTATCCATCAACAATGTGGTCACTGTAAGATAGATCGAAGGTCACGCCACATCTTGCTGATTCACCAGCCAAGAAGGCAGCCAACCAAATACTTTTTGGACTGGCCCTTCTATTACACTGACAACTTCAGTAGTGACAAACCTAATTAAAGAACATTCCCTTGTAAAATTCATGGAAATTTTGGATAAAACAAGAAGCTGCAGAGTTCCCAGGAAATGCGCCTGATCACAGGCATTCTGACGTCATTCCCTCCATATCATGGGGCTGTCAGAATCCGCACTCTGCAAGGGGTGCGAACAAGAAGATGAGACCATCGAGCATATCCTCTACGATTGCCCGTCGTTATCATTTATTAAAAGATTTGTATTCGGAGAAAATTGGCTTTTACCTACCCATATAAGAGAAGCACCTCTTGGCGACGTTGCCAGCTACATTAAATCTGTAGGCTGATTAAGGTACTATCCACTTAGGAAGATGCACAATTGGCCTGATGTCGTGAGTTAACCCACCTTATACACGTTACATATACAGGTTGTCGCCATCTTCAATACATGAAATAGAGTTAAAAAACACCGTCAATGGTGATCTTTTGTTATTTCGCGATACATAAGCTCTATCTGGAAGGTTGGTTGCTTTATATCACTTATGCCTCATTGTGATCATTGTGCATCCTCCAGGGGCATCCATCGTCCCAGCACTGAGCTTATCAGTAACATCAACTCCACATTTTGTGAAGTCTTAGTACACTAATTGCCTCTTTGGTACCTTCATCAATGGCACTATTATGGTGGAGGTTTAATGCTACTAAAATTACGTTGCCTTTCTTAGAAAGCCAAAAAGTCTAGTAATTTTTTTTTATTATTCTGTAAAATAAAAAAAATATTTATCTTTTCCCAAAATAATTTAACAAAATATCCAATTACCTTATACGTATTCTGGTGTAAAGTTTGCCTAATTGTTCATAAGCGGACATATAAAATACATGAAATATATGGTGGGGTTTAAATCACCCAAATCAAACTTTGATAACAAATTGAGATAAATCTATACACCCTGACGGCTAAATAACCACAAATAAGTTTTGTTAGTATCTCTCTACAATATGTATCAAACTTAACAATCTATCCAAAATCCTCGCCAATATCCCACAATTTTACAGGACGATCTTCTACAAGAGATAAAAGGGACGACATGTACTGAAGTTTCTGAGAACTTTGGTGGTGTCAGAGACGTTCGTGAAGTATAAGTTTTACGTGGGTGTTTTTTACCCCATTATTCGCGCGCCTGGTCCATGATTTGAGGAAACATAACCTAATTTATTTAAATTTTACTAACCACAGTAACGATTCAGTATGTGATTAAAAAATCACGCCATAGTCCAACTCAACTACTTTTTCTTTGAATTGATTCTTTTAGGATTTATACATAGATAACTATTTAAAAAGGCTTTATGAATACGGATTGATAGTATCATATTAAAGAGTGACCCACAAAATGTTCCTAAATATGCAATGACCGACAAAGACAGAGATACGATTCATGTCCGTGATACTTACCCACAGCTCTAAATTAGATCTAAACTGACATTTAAAAGAAGTAGAATTATACACTTAAGCATGCGTGAATTTTTCCATTGCCTACTTTAGAAAAACATTTTGAGGATCAGTCCATATTTAATCATATAACAAACTTATTAGTCTGCTTCTCATGTCTTCTTATTATTAGCAAATTAGTTAACACGCTCTACGTACTGTATATTTTGATTTCTATTAACGGAGATACAGATCAAAAATAATATAAACTGTGTTAAAAATAATTTACCAATTCACAACATGGCGAGTTGTGAACACAAGAAGCGAAATATGAAAAAAATTCAGGACTAACTAAGAAAATAAATTGTATAATTAAATTATTTTTAAAAATCAGAGACGCATAAAAATGTTTTAACTCCTTATACAGAGTATTACCAAACTCCTGCACAAGTTATGACATACGTGTTGGGGAGATCAAGAGAAAACAAATACCAAATAGGTACCTACCATTTTTCTAGAAAGTCCATAATGACAGAAAAAATCGAGAGGCGCTAAATGGGTGGTTCTTATCTTATGCGAGGGTACCAATGACAAACTCAAAGCACAAACGAAACGATTTTATCTCAAACGAAAGACTCAAAGGCGATTAGAAGTAGCTACTGAGACGATGAATTTGTAAAACATTGGAATTACTTCGGTTAAACCATTGTAGAAGATCTTCAAATTGCTATAGTTGCCGCGCCGAACTTCACCGAATGTCCACTGTCCGCACTTCACGTGTATATCAGCCTAAAACGAGTGTCCCATTGTCGTCTGAAGATCGCCAAAAATGTGTTTTAGTTCATCAGTTCAAAGCGTACTAGCGTACCGTTTTCTGTAAGACCATTGACCTACAAATATGCACGGTTCATTTCTCATAATAATCTACGAAAACCTGCTCATGGCCTATGACCTGGTCAACGGAGGTTTCGTTTGCCTAGCCCTTAACACATGTGATCACGCAGTTTTATTACTGCATCTCTTCGGCGCGTCAACTATTGCCCTGGTCTTTTCCTTTTCATTTCTCTTTTTGATTAGGGTGCAGAAACTGTTGGAACAATTTATGTAAAAATAATTGGGGCCTTTACTCCTTAAGTAAAAATATTTAAGTCATTTACGCTTTAAATATGTCCATGTAAAATATTTGAATCCATTATCCCTTAAGTCAACCTATATCAAAATATTTGGTCCCAATTATCTCTAATGGAACGAACTCTATTACAGAGCCAGAGATGTTTAGGATAGAATTCCTGCTTCAGTACACGAATCTCTAGTAAATCAATGTTGAAATAATTGAACACTTATCGACCCACTCAGTGATCTACATTATTATTATTATTATTTGTTATTCTAAATATAAACAGCAAACATTTGGAAATATAACTTATTTAATTATAAAGGTAAAATTAACTGATATTTACTTTTTTGACCAACTCCAAGAGGTCCTTAAGAAATCCTCTTAGCTCCTCATTTTCTATCGTGCCATTGTTATCCTGAAAAACATTTAAAGTTTTTAATTTTTTATAACAAATAATGAATAAGATTTTAGAGTGGAAGTTGTTAAAGGGGTACTAAAGCTAGTACTATAATTTATCGATAAAAAACAAAGATTTCTTAATCAGAATTCGTTTTAAACAAATCAATAGGTAATGTAGCAAAATAAATATAATATCATCATCAATAATAATATGATCAATGATTTCACATAAACTTTTCACGTAATAAATATACCTAAGAGTGTGTGCATGCCGAAGATGCCTCACTGATCGATGATCGATGACCGATAGGCGTTAGTTAAGAGGATGTCAATCGATGTAAAACAAATTTATGGTGCGAGGGTGGTATGTACACTCATTTAAATTAGTACATTTGTTATTACATCGCCTATCGATCATCACTCATCGAGGCATCTTCGGCATGTACATACCCTAAGCGTATGAACTTGCTGAAGATGCCTAGATGATCGACGAACGAGAGGCGATTGTTAAGTGGATGTCAGTTGATGTAATACAAATGTATGGTGCGAGAGTGCGAGGGTATGCTAATCTTTGGTATGTAGACTCTCTTTTAAATTAGTACATTTGTTATAACATCGCCTATCGGTCATCAATCATCGTTCATCGAGGCATATTCGGCAAGTACACTCCCTATAATTCACTACCTTACGAGTTAATGTTAACCAGAAGCCGACTGAGCTTGTGCAAGGAAGGGACGGCTATTAGGTATTAATATTAGCTGTGGCACTCCGGGACAATGATTGATGGTGTCATTTGATATAAATGTGAGGAAAGTCCAACCCCACCCACCATAAAAGAAAACGGTAACGCACGGCTATTTGTAATCTGGATGGCATATTAATATAGAAATTAAATTACTGCTAATACGACACCCATCAAATTCTATCATGCAAATTAATTAAAAATTCTAGGATGTAGGATCTAGAACAAAGTATCACTATTCCATTAAATGGCCCGTAAATAATTACTGGCCGCTCGACACATTGCTCTACTAAGACGAACTGATATTTTCTGGTTCAATCCGTACCACAGAATAAGTATCACATCAACAACATTTTATTATTCTCATCATTGTTTATTGTGAAATAATGCTTCAATTATTTTATGATAGGCAAATATGGTTTTAATGAATGCTTTTATTTTAAATAAAAAGTAGATGATCCTGAGTTCTATATATTAAAATATTTAAAATATTAGTCCTCAAACTACCACTCTTACTTCTAAACGTATGTTTTGGTAGATTTATTTGGAAAATTTTTGTTATATTAAAATTGTATTTGTACCACACGAGTAACTAGGTGCTTGTTCAGATGTTACAGGTATTCTGTGGTAGGTACCTGGGATATACACAATTCGATAATGTTTTATTACTATTTTAGATGCTGCTAAAAGATGAGTCAATGTCTAGAATTTTCTGAAGAATCCAAAAATTTAAAAATCTATAGGGCGTTGTATTTAAAATAAGAAAGTTGGTATTGTCCACTGTATGTCCGATCGTTTTTCCGAACATGCCCCCATTTATTTATTACCGAATTTATTCCATTTGGCTGTTCCATACCGTATATGCTTCACAGTTTAACAGACCCTTAACCCTCATTTTAAATCAGATTTTTTTCAGAATCAATAGGCATCATGCTCTTATAAATCTTGATTTTTATCTTTACTCATATTTTTTTTTCAGAATCAATGGGCTTCATCTCCTTATACTAACTTGATTTTTACTTAAAATTTCATGTTGATATCGCTTTTGGTTTTTGATTTCTATTTTTTATTTCAACCCCCCTTAACCACCCCATTTTATTCGGATAATTTTAAAATCAATTGGCTTTGTCCTCTTAAAGATCTTGATTTTTGCTATAAATTTGAAGTTCTTATTTTTCGTTTTGAGTTAGGATATTTTTAAATATTTTAACCCAGCCCCCTTAATCTCTCATTTTATTCAGATTTTTATTATAATCAATAGGCTTCATCTCCTTATATTAACTTGATTTTTACTAAAAATTTCATGTTCGTTTCTGATTCATGATTTTTTTAATTTCAACCCCCCTTAAACCCCTTATTTTTATTTAGACTTTTTTCAAAATCAAAGAGTTTCTTTCACTTGTACAACTTGATTTTTACTAAAAATTTTATATTGATGTCATCTTTCGTTTTTGAGTAGAATTGTTTTAATATTTCATTCCCCCTTATCTCTCCATTCTAATTCAATTTTTATTTTGTCCCCTCACAGAGCTTGATTTTGGCTAAATATTTCAAGACGATATCAATTTTTTATTTTTGAGTTAGACATTTTTTAATATTTCAACCCCCCTTAAGCCCCATTTTATTATTATTATTTTTTAATCAATAGGCTTTGTCTCCTTATAGAGCTTGAATTGTGCTAATTATTTCAAGTTGATATTATTTTTCATTTTTCAGTTAGGATTTTTTTTATTATTTCAATCCCCTGATAGAGCTTGATTTGAATGACTTTAATAATAACATACGTACCTAAATTTTTACAAAATAATTGCAAAACGTCTAGTACTTACCCTATCGTAAAGGGAGAACACTCTCTCAATGTCAGCTCTGGTAAGTTTTGTGGCACCCTATATAAAAAATACAATTAATAATAAAATAAGTAATAATTATTGATTTTCTTTATATAGAATAAACATTAAACTTTAGCTTACATAATGAAATATACATAGTAAATATTAAGATTTTTATCAAATTTGATGAATGGATATTTGGTATAGTCATGAAAAGTATATTTTTGGAAAATATAACATAATTAGCATATGAATTGGCATACATATATTGATCTAAAATATTTACGAAAACCACTAGGTACTTTAGATTTTACTCGAAGTACATGACATTAAATAGTTTGTACTAGATATTATTTAGATTCTCCGTAAATAGTTATTTCAAAACCTAGCAGACTTAGGCCTGCCGCACATTACACATCACAGGCATAGGATAAGTAACGAATATGCGTATCAGACTAAGGCTAAAGACACACACGGCTGTTTCCGCCGAGTCGGCCGCCTCTGCCAAAACACACGAAGCGGTTCACAAAAATGTAATGTATTTGAGTCGAGACTGTATTTTGATTTTTTTTTTCAAATTTCCGCCACGGAACCTTCAAGTTCAGCTATGTATTATTATTTTAATAAGTAAAAAATTGTAGAAAAATAAACGTAATCATATAATATTGGGGTTAAGTAAAATGAAGGTTAAACGTTAAAATTTTAAAATATTCTTAAATACATGAAGGCTATTTGTTGTGTTCCAAAGCAGTCCAAGCTTTAAATTTCGACTTTTCATAATGAATATTGTTTGTACTTTTTGAAATCGTTTAGTTTCTCTGCACTTATTTGCACTTTTCTTCACTATTTAGGTTTTTTTATAGTATATAAATATATGGCGCGACGATCGTCAAAAACGAATTCTGGTTTTTTAATATATTTCGTTTATTAATCAATCGATTTTATTGTCCTTAGGCTCATTTTATAGGCAACTAAATATTCTCCCAGATAGACATAACAAAATGCCAGAAATGTAAAATTTAAGATGGCCGACCTAATTGAAGAAAAAAAAAAGAGCCTAAAAGTAACCCATTTTAAGCTCGTTTTGCGTAATAAAGATAAATAAAATATAAAATCTGATAACAAAAGTTTAATATCTAACCTATTTGCTTTATTTTAAGACCTCTCCGAGCACGATTGGTCCATTGCTTTGTTGCCTATAGACCAATAACAGAGAAAACTAATGAGGACGTCTTTAATTCGTTTTTACTTAGTTTCGACCTTGTAATCACGAGCAAACCAAAATTAAAAAAGAAAGAGTCTGCAGCATTTTTCTAAAGAAGCAGTAGATTTGTTTAAATCTGGACTCGTCCAGCTTCGTAGCCATGGTATATTCATGACACTGATGATGACCGTGGAGACGATGAAGAAAATGTCTTATCACATTCTAAAGAGGATGAAATTTGATTACAATCATCATTGCTTTTCTAAATCAAATTATTATAATATAACATTTTTATTATCTGTATCTTTAACGTGTGGAGGGTGGATTATCCCCCCGGCACTTGGGCCTCATTAGGCCCATGCCATTTTTATTATATTATATGTTAGTATTACAAAAGAAAATACATAGAGGGCTTATAAAGTGTGTATTTGCTAAAAAAAAAATAGATATTAAGAATAGAATATACATTTTTATTATATTATATTCTTAATAACTTTCTATTTTTTTTTTTTAGCAAACAAACACATTATAAGCCCTCTATGTATTTTCATTTGTAATACTAACACATCTACAAAGCAATATTTAACTTACAAATTCATAAAGAGAGTCTGTGATTTATTGCACACTTTGATGGCTTGTTGCCTCAGTGTGCGACGGTACGCGCGGCGGTGTAGCGTCGCTTTCTCGCAGCGCAGTATAGTGTGAACAACTCCATTTATTTACATTACAGCATCCGTCGAGGCGGCGGCCGAGTCGGCGAAAACAGCCGTGTGTGTCTTTAGCCTAATAATGCACACATTTTAATGTTGCCACCGATATGTTCAGACAAGAAAAAAATGCCGACAAAGAGATGTAACTAGTCAAGGAGGAATGAGAAAAATCGAGTCTCGGGTCCACGTTGATGGGGACAACACTAATCATTTGTAGTGCGCATGCGTATGCGTTTTATTTGTACATCGGTCTCCTTTTGACAGAGTAGGTGAGCTCTGTCCAGGCCGTTGGTGTTTATGCCGGTCGGCGTAGCCAGGTATAGATTAAAATTTTCTTGTGGCGGCGAAGCCGCCACCCTACGAGAAGTCGTTGCTTCGTCTTCTTGTTGTCACGGCATTATTATTATTTGTTTATGTATATGTGAAATTTGCTTCTAAGATTTATAAAATACTACTGCCAGTCACGGCGTAAATGAAAACAAACAAGACGCATTTACACAAACACCCCTCCACAGCTACAAATGATTAGTGTTGTCCCCGATACGCGAGTCACGTTGATCATGCGTTATATATTCTTATTGGTCAATATTTTAAAACAAAGTATTTTGATTGGATCGCGGGCCTACAAGAAACTCATTTATATGAACCAATCGTAGTAACGAGCACGTGGCAGTGAAGACTCTTTCAGATAGATCGAGAATTTAGTTATACCTAGAGGACAGATTCGGCAGATTAATTAGGAAGTGATTAGAAATAAATTAGCCAATGTGATGCTTAAATTAAATAAGTATAAAGCTCGGAAATGATGTAGGTACATAATAAAAAGCAAACATGAGGCGAAGAAAGAAAGACGAGTAAATAAATATTTAACAAAATCATTTTGTTTGAGCGATTTTGATTTTATAAATATTAACGTTTCAATTACTCATCTCATAACAATGTTGGTCTAATCGTTGATTTACTTTATCTAAATGTTTATAGTATTCAACGTTTTTGTGAAGCTATCTACTGGATGAAAGATGTGGTGATGAATTTGAAAAACCGAAAGCGCCCGTCTGATTTTATTAAATATTTATACACACTGATGTACTCGTCTTAATTTTTTTCTTCACCGGAATAGTTTGGTAGGTAGTGGTGTTTTAATATGATTAAGGGTAGATTGCTTTGATGTTTACTTATTATTAGTATAACCGCAATTATTGCTGATTAAACATTTTATCGTCACCCGAGAAGAAATATGTCGTAACTCAAAATCAAAGTTTCGTAGGAACACTGATTTAAAATATTAAACATTTTCAAAGTTTTAATGAAGAAGTTGTAAGACATATAACTAATTAATATTTTTTAATATGATATTGTCTAATAAGTAAATTCATTGATTTAAAAAAGTAAATCTTAGAATCCACGTAATTTTTGACGCAAAATAACATGGATTTTTTATGGAACACGAAAGTGAAACTATTTTAAACAACAAAGCTATCTTACAGACTATTTTAGAGAGAAAAATATGACATTCATATATCCTTTTTTAAAAAGCGAGAGCAAAGAATTGTTTTTTAATGACTACTCTTTATTCGTATATCTTTTTATGACATGATGTGCTTGTGAAATATCTCTTTACTTTCGTTTTTTATAATAATATCGAAATCCCGTTCATCTTGTTCGTAGCTGGTTTTGTAGAAAATTTTCCTTATCTATTCGTACAACCTTGGCCTCTGTAATTTTAAAATGTTTTAATTTATGAGCACATTATTCTATCCAATGTTATATATTAATTATTTAAATCAAAAATATTTTTGGAGTTAGATCGTTATTTCTATTTAATTCTGACAGATCGGTTGAATTGACACAAGAAAACCGTCACAACACAAAAAATATTGACACTTTCTCGGGAAAATAGTCCCTTATCGAGTTAGGTAAAATCTGAGATAACATTCATTAATAAACTAGAATATGATGCCAAGATTAAGTCGAAAATCTATACACTTTATTTGCAGGTTCGCGGCGAGAAGACTAAAGGTGAGAAATAAGAGAGGGGATAAAGAGAAGGTTTTAAAGGAGATACAACTTTATTTTATTAATGAATAAATGTGTAAGCAAGCGATGTGGGCTTATAATAAAGAACGTAACGGTGTAAGCCCTGTTGCCACTTCCAACTTACGATTACTAGGTTTTGGAATATATTGAAAATTATTATATTTAATTTAGTGAAATTTCATCTAATTTAGTAAAATTTGATATGACTAATGATTACAAATTTTTTGGGTTCAGTTGCAATAAAATAGGTTGAATTATTTTAGCTTTTTTAATAAATGTAAATAATTTTGTAAACAAAACTAGAATAATGAAATAGGCATATGACAACAGCGGATATTATAATGTTACCTTGCACCTTGCAGTAGCCTGCAACCATTATAGGAAACGTACAAATACAAGCGCAATGTCACCCATCACACTACAGTGTGTTGCGGTCGTCATAAGTAAAAGTACGAGCCAAAAAAGAAAATTAAATATTCCAAAAATGTCTCGAAATGTCATTCCTTCTCAATAAAAATCCGGATTGTTCGAGAACGTTCTAGAGGGTTAAGATCCACTAAGTAGAAAACCGATATGGATAGTTGAGGTCCACCAGCATGGTTTTTGAAGATGGAAGAGGAAAATGAAAGGCGGCGCCTTAAGAAGGAAGAAGAGGAAAATGGAAGGCGTAGGAAGAAAGAAGAGGCGGAAAAGGAAAGGCGTCGTTAGGAGGAAGAGGAGGAAAAGGAAAGGCGTAGGTAGGAAGGAAGGAGAGAAAGGGGAAACAAATACTTGTTATGGAGTATTTTTCAAAGTGGCCCGAAATAGCGCCCATTCCTAACCAGGAAGCGACGAAAGTAGCAGAAGCATTTATGACAAACGTCATAGCGAGACACGGAGTCCCTCTGGAATTGCATTCTGACCAAGGACGAAATTTTGAATCCGAATTATGGCAAGAAATGATGAAGCTGTTAGGCATTAGAAAAACACGCACTACGCCTCTCCGCCCACAGTCCGACGGAATGGTAGAAAGACACAATAGAACCATGTCAGTATCTTTCCATGTTCGTCTCTGAAAGTCAAAAGGAGTAGGACACTTTGATTCCTCTCCTCCTGCTAGCCTACCG